GATTATAGGCATGAGCCATCAACACCCAGCTCATAGTATTTTAGATAATGTCATTCAGTCCTAGTATGTTGGCCAGTTCAGAGCATGTCAAAAATATTTAGGTGATGGGTTAAAAGCAATTCAAAGTCATTTACAAAATTGTAATTCTCAAGTGGCTGAGTAATAGCCCATGGGAACTTGAAGAGGAGCCATACAGTGGCTCCTGTTACCACAGCTACAGCTTTCAGAACAATCAAGTTTGCATGATCATGCGTAGAGCAACGAGATAGTTACGTTCATAAAGAGGGGTGGGCTGCATGAAATGCAATGAAGAAATGAATTCCAAACCCTTGAAGAAGACCCTTTATACTGGATCGAGGGTGTCACTGGTGGGAGAGCACTTGCCTAGTGTGTGGGAGGTTCTGGAGTTCATACAGAACTGCAAAAAAATAAAATAAAGGCACGAACTAAAGGTACAGCTAATTAACAGATACCATTTGCTATTCTATGCTGTATGGGAGGATATCTACCCATCTTAGATTTTCTGGCAGGCTCTGAATCCAACCAACAAAAGTCAGGTTAAGAAGAGAAAACCAACAGAAGCTTGTGCAGGTGCCTGATGGGCAGGGGACACTCCAGGGACAGCTGAGGGGAGCTGGGCTGGGCCTGAGGGCCATTAGGGAAGAACACCAAGTATTGGCAAAATGGCAGCCCCGAAGGAAAGGACCATGGGGTTTCCAGGGCAGACAGAACAGGAACTGGCAACAGAGGAGGGCAACTGGGTACCATCTGTCTTGTAGGTTTCTTGGTGCTTCTCAGCCTGAGGAGGACTCAGTACTCCCTCAGACGATTAGCTTCTGGCCTTCCTTGAGACAGGGGAGGTGGACATCTTTGTGCCCCTTTAGGTGCAATGCACAGTGCTTTAAAAGATATATGCATTGGGACTGGGAATGTGGCTTAGTGGTAGAGTGCCTGCCCAGCATGCACAAAGCCCTGGGTTCGATTCCTCAGCACCACATACACAGAAAAAGCCAGTAGTGGCGTTGTGGTGCAAGTGGTAGAGTGCTAGCCTTGAACAAAAGCAGCCCAGGGACAGTGCTCAGGCCCTGAGTTCAAGCCCTAGGACTGGCAAAAAAATAAAAAAAATAAAAAAATATATATATATATGTATATATATATATATACACATATACATATTTATATGTATATGCCTGTACCTCTACGCCGTTGCCTTCCAGCTCAAAATAATCCTTATGCCAACAACTGACTTTTGGCACACACTGGCATCACCTCTTTGAACAGGGAATGGAAAAGCATGCTTCTCTGCTCTTGTCCAGCAGTAGGACACCGCCCCCTGGTGGCTGTGGCTTTACACCTGTCAAGACCGTCACTTTACTGTTTGATATAATGAAGTTGTTATGGTTTGGATGTGTTCCTCAAAAATTCATTGAAAGCAGAACTCCCAGTTTCACACATCCATGGGACTTGGAGGCGGGCCTCTGAGAGGTAATTGTGAGGTCAGGATTGGGCCTCCAGATGCCAACGGTGGTAACGTGGCAAGCAGAGCTGCTGCCTGGTCCTGTGATGCTCTACCATGTTGTCAGCATAACAACATGAGCTAACTAAATCTCTATGTTATACATTACCAGTGTGTGGTATTCAGTTACAGCAACAGAAAATGAAGAGAATTACATTCTACAAATGCCAGGAGAAAGCAAACTATTAGGGAAACAGGAAAGCAAATAGACTGTATTTACCCTCAGCTGTGACAGCAGCCTTCCAAGCTTTAGGCTGCATTTGCAGCATGAAGTTACTAAAACAAACAACAAAATGCATTTCTTTAGAGCAGCACAGGGAGTTGGAATTGTGCTGCCTGTTCAGTGAATGGTTCATCTTTTTATTGTGCTATGTTTTCATATGCTAATTATCTTCCAATCTAACCTCACATATTTAAATACACACAGATGCTTGTTTTTTTTCTCATGCAGGGGAATGATGCTTAAATAACTTGCTATGGTTACCATAGCTAAGTGGATTCAAACCTATACAGTGTGGCTTGAAAGTGTGTGTGTGTAACCAGTATACACAACCTCGTGCCAATCAGTCCTTGCCCAAATAAGACTTTCAGTAAATTGCAGTGAATATTCCAACTGGACTGCACTTGACACTGTGACTGGCCCTGCAACCTTTGGAAACTGCTCCATTGCTTCTCGTGGTTGTGCAATGCGTGAACTCAGCCTCTGAACCTCAGGACTTGTCAGCCAACTGGAGATGGAGTACTGTGGACTTTTCTGCTTAGGCTAGCTTTGAACATCAATCTTCTAGGTCTCAGCCTCTTGAGTAGCTAAGATTCAGGCATGAGCCACCAGCCAATTATTAACATTTATTATAGTATATTAATTGCAACATATCTTAATTTATTATATCAATGTTATAACATAGGTACACATAAAACCTTTTGTTGTTTTTGCTTTTTGGAGAGTGCTAACACAACACTCCTGTTCCTCAAATCCCCCTCTCTTCTGTCCAGTTTCTGTGACTTTAAGGTCTTCCTCAGACCTTTCCTGGACTACTGGATAATTTCCATGATTCAGTGGGAGACAATCAATCCACCCCCATCCTCCCCACCCCCAGCCTTTAGAGTGCTCAGGAGTAATGGAGACCAGCACCACACCAGACCTGAACTCTGTCCACATGCCATTTTACACCTATAGTCTGGTCTCTTTCTCCTTTTCTGCCAGAACATACCCTTGGCCACTACCTTCCCTGAGCAACAACTTACACCCTTCAGCCTAGCCCTTGTGTGCTAGGTCTTGTCTTCCTGGAAACCTCCCGGTCTTCAGCATCACCTCCTTCATGAAGCCGCCTGGAGCACTCAGCTCTGGCAGCTGGAACCGGTTACACTAGACTGGCTGGTTCAAATACTAGACAGTTACTTCCTCACACTTGTGAACTGGAAGGTTACATGCCAGTGTCTTATGTTCCTGGGGAAGGTGCTTTCCTTGGCTAAAGGAAGGGTGTGTGTGTGTGTGTGTGTGGCCGTTCTTCCTGTCCAGACACCATTCCTACTCGATTATGACTTCACTCAACATTTATTACTCCATGGGGCTCCATCTTCAGGGGCAGTCTCCTTAGAGATTATGGCTTTTAACACATGAATTTGGGGGTTCACTGAGTCCATAAGAACACTCCTTATCACCTCTTTTTTGTGCCAGCCGTGGGAACTTGGGGGCCTGGATACCGTCCCTGAGCTTTTGTGCTCAAGGCCAGTGCTCTACACCACTTGCCCACAGCTCCCCTTGAGGCTTTGTGGTGGCTAATTGGAGATAAGACTTCCCTGGGGGGGGGGGGCTGGCTTCACAGCAGGACCCCACATCATAGTCCCCCCAGCAGCTGGATTTCAGGCTGGAGCCACTGGCACCTACTCCTGCCTGTTACTGTCTGCCTAGCTGCTCCATTCTCTGCTCCCCAGAACCTCATGCAGGTCTCAGTCTTCCGTCGGCCATGTCGGAGACGCCGGCACTGCTGCTGGCTGTGGAACGGGCTGTCAGTCTCATTACTGCAGAATTTAGAGCATAGGTTCGAGTTCAACTTAAGTAAATAGGTTCAAAGTGCCTCCTGGACCCTTGAACCAGCACCGCGGATGCTTTCCGGGGCCTACAAGATCGTCGATGGTCCTGGGGCCGAGCGCCCACCCCGGGCCCCGCCCCCGGCCCCTGCGCTCACCCCGGCCCCCTGCACCCCGGGCCCCGCCCCGGCGCCCCCCCCAGGCCCTGCCCCCCCCCCCCCCCCGGCGCCTCGGCCCCCGGCGCCTCGGCCCCCCGGGCCCCGCCCCCTCGGGCCCCGCCCCGGCGCCCCCCCCAGGCCCTGCCCCCCCCCCCCCTGGCGCCTCGGCCCCCGGCGCCTCGGCCCCCCGGGCCCCGCCCCGGCGCCCACCCCAGGCCCTGCCCCCCGGCGCCTCGGCCCCCTGCGCCCCGGGCCCCGCCCCGGTCCCCGGCGCCCACCCCGCGCGGCTGGCGGATCCCGGCCTGCGCCGCCGCCCACGCTGGAGTCACCGCGTGGACTGGCCTCGAACCCCCCCCGCGGGCTTCTCACTCCCCCCCCCCCCCGTCTCCCCGCCCTGGAGGCACTTCCGGCCTCACCCAGCCGCGGCTCCATCCCGCGCCGACCCCAGCCCCTCCGCTCCCGACGGCCCACCTCCGTCTGCGGACGCGGGGCGAAGTCCCGGTTCCCCCCGGTGGCCGCGGCCGAGAGGACCCGGCCTTCCCAGACTGCGCGTGCCTCTGTGGGACCCCCGCACCCCGCGGGCCCGGGCGGCCCCTCAGGCGGCCGCGAGTCCGGCCGGCCGCACTTGGCCATTCCCACGGCCTCCGTCCGGGCCGAGGGCGCCGACCGCCCAGGAGAGACGCAGCCACCGGCGCCCAGACCCGCGCCCACAGCCTCGACGAGGCGTCCGGGAAGCTCGGGCCCCGCGCCCCAGCGCCCGGCCCCGTCGGGACCTTCCCGGAGGACCGCAGTGTCGCCCACGGCGGACCCGGGCTGGCTCAGGGCCGGCGAAAGAGACGGACGGTCCCGCGCACGGCGCGGGGCGGGGCGGGGGCTTCGCGAGAGCCCCGCCCCGGCCCCGGCCCCGCCCCACGTACCGCCTCCTCGAGGCCACACCCTCTCGCGTCCATCTCCTTTTTTCCCGCCCCGATTGTGCGGCCCAGGCTCCGCCCTTTCGAGGCCATCCTCATCCCAGCCCGAGGCCCCGCCTTCCGACGTAAGAGGCGGGGCTCATACGATGCAGCCTTAGGCTCCGCCCCCTCGCGCTCACTCTCTTTCAAGCCAGAGGCCCCGCCTCTGGATGTGAGGGGCGGGGCTTTCAGTGTGTGGCTCCGTCCACTCGCGTCCATCGTCTTCTCGTCGGGAGGAACTTCCACGGTGCCGCCTCCGTTTCCGCCCTGTCGCCTATACCCTCTTCCGGGCCGAGGCCACGCCCCTCAGCGTGAGGGGCGGAGCTTCTGGTGCGCGGCCTGCGCGCCGGGCGGTTCCTGAGGCGGCCGTTGGCCGTTCCCGCGGCTTGGCTGGTTGTCTTGGAGAAGCAAGATGGCGGCGACGGCGGCGGCGGTGGTGGCCGAGGAGGACACGGAGCTGCGGGACCTGCTGGTGCAGACCCTGGAGAACAGCGGCGTCTTGAATCGCATCAAGGTGCGGCGGGCGGCCGCGCGGGTCTGCAGGCCCGAGGCCAGGCGGCGTCACCGCGCGCCGGCGCCGGGCAGGACGGCCTGGGCCGGGGGCCGGGGGCCGGGGGGCCGGGGCCGGGGGCCGGGGCCGGGGGCCGGGGGCCGGGGGCCGGGGGGCCGGGGGCCGGGGGCCGGGGCCGGGGGCCGGGGGCCTGGGCCGGGGGCCGGGGCCGGGGGCCGGGGGCCGGGGGGCCGGGGGCCGGGGGGCCGGGGGCCGGGGGCCGGGGCCGGGGGCCGGGGGCCGGGGCCGGGGGCCGGGGCCGGGGGCCGGGGGCCGGGGGCCGGGGCCGGGGGCCGGGCGGCGGCCGGGGGGCCGGGGGCCGGGGGCCGGGCGGCGGCCGGGGGGCCGGGGGCCGGGGGCCGGGGGCCGGGCGGCGGCCGGGGGGCCGGGGGCCGGGGGCCGGGGGCCGGGGCCGGGGGGCCTGGGCCGGGGGCCGGGGGCCGGGGGCCGGGCGGCGGCCGGGGGGCCGGGGGCCGGGGGCCGGGGGCCGGGGCCGGGGGGCCTGGGCCGGGGGCCGGGGGCCGGGGGCCGGGGGCCGGGGGGCCGGGGGCCGGGGGCCGGGGGCCGGCGGGGCGCGGGGCGGCGCGGGCCCGGGGGCGACGCCGGCCCTCCGCGGCCGCCCGCCGTCGCGCACGCGCCTGCGCAGTGCATCTCCCGCCTCTGGAAACCGTTTCTATTCCTTTTTCTTGAAGGCTGAACTCCGAGCAGCTGTGTTTCTAGCGCTAGAGGAGCAGGAGAAAGTGGAGGTACGGAGTTGTCCCGGCCCCCGCAGGCCGTGGGCCCGCGCGGCGCGTCTGCGCGGCGGGAGGTGGGGCAGCGCCCTCCCCGAAGACCCCAGGCCGAGGCCTTCCCGCGCCTTTCCGCCCTTCGCAGCCCTTAGCGTCCGGTCACTCCGGCCCGCACCTGGCCCGAGGCACCGCGCTGGGCCGCCGTGCGCAGCCCTGAACCCGCCGACGGCCGGTGGCGAGCCCTTCCGAGTAGGGCGCGCACACTGTCACTTTCCCCAGGGCGCTGGGCACGACGATTTGAAAAGCATGTTGTTTTCAAAAGGGCAACGACACCTCTGTCGGTGAGCGGATAGTTGATCGATTTCTCCGCACCTCACACCCTGTCAACCTCTCGGAGCAAATCCCTTGAAAGGCCCTGTCACTTCCTGGAGGACAAATTGATCTCCTGCGCTTCCACTCTGTAATCTTACGTGTTTGCTCTTCAGTTTCATCGAACTTGCCCGATAAGCTGGATTCCAGTGGTTAACACCTGTTGGGAGGCAGAGATAGAAGGATCCCTGTTTGAGGCCAGCCCAGGGAAAACTTAGACTGTTTGAAACATAAGTTAGATATGATGGTACCCACCCATAGCCAAGATAGGAGGATTGTCTGAAAAGTAAAACCAGATAGAGGTGTGGCTCCAAGGGTATGCTGGCATAAGACCCCAAGTTCAAACCCCAGTACTGCCTTCAGCTCTTTCTCTTTTTGTGTAGGCATCAGTCTAGGTCCCCCAGCACCATTTGTTGAAGAGGCTGTCTTTTTCGTTCTGTTTTTGGTTGCTGATATTTGGGTGTATTTCTGGGTCTTCTATTCCACCAGGTCTCTATGCTAGTACCAGGCTGTTTTGTTTTTATAGCTCTGTAGTAAACTGAGGTATGGACTGTGGCACCCCCAGCATTGCTTCTTTGCTCACATTTGCTTTGGTTATTTGGGGCCTTTTGTAGTTCAGTGTGAATTTTTGGAATGTTTTCTCTATCTTAGTGAAGACAGCATTTGATTTTGATGGGTATTGCATTGAATTTGTAGATCGCCTTTGGCAGCATAGCCATTTTCAGGACATTTGCCAATCCATGAACATGGACTTTTTCCATTTCCTGAAGACCCTGGAGGCTTCTTCCATTTCCTCTTCAGAGTTTTATAGGTTTTCACTACAGAGGTCCTTCAGTTTCTTGGTTAGATTTATTCATGTATGGGGAGAGGAGGGGGATAAACTACTGCAAATGCAATTTCCTCATCTTCTTCTGTTTGCACATTGTTGATATAGAGAAAATCTACTGAATTTTGTGTGTTGATTTTGTATTCTACTACTTTGCCAAAATTATCAGCTCTAGGAGCTTGGGGGTGGAGTCTTTAGGGCCCTTTAGATGTAGAATCATGTCACCTACAAATAGGGATAGTTTAGCCTCTTCTTACCCTATTTGGATCTCTTGCTCTATTGTTCTAGCTAGGAATTCCAGCATTATATTGAAAAGGAGTGGAGAAAGTAGGTACCTTTCTCTTGTTCCTGATTTAAAGGAAAGAGTTTTAATTTATCCCCATTTAGTAGGATGTTGGCTGTAGGTTTGTCATAGATTGCCTTAATTATGTTCCTTCTTTAGTAGTTAAGTCTTGAAGTCTGTTTCCTTTTCTTCTTTGTCGTAAATTGCTTTCGTAGAAGTTACGCATTTCTTTATTTTTGGCATGTGCTCATTGGCACTTGTAAGATGTTCTTGATATGTTTTGTTTCTGTCAGGAGACTCCGACATGATATTTATTTATTTATTTATTATGTTGGTTGTGGGGCTTTAACTCTGGGCCTGGGCTTTGTTCCTGAGCTCTTCAGTTCAATGCTAGTGCTCTACCACTTGAGCCAGAGCACCATTTCTGGCTTTTTCTGTTTATGTGGTACTGAGGAATTGAACCCAGGGCTTCATGCATGCTAGGCAAGCACTCTACCACTGAGCCACCTTCCCATCCCTGATGTCATTATTTTTGAGGCTTCCTTACTGCCCCATGGTTGTCAGGTCTTTGCAGCTTTGAAGGGGAATAGTTCTCTTTTAAATCATTTGCTATTTTCTAATCTCCCCCAGTATCTAAGCATTATTTCCATTTCTTATCAAACCATATAGTTTGGCAGATAATGTAACCTAGTGTGACCTGGTTGTCATTTTCCTGACTTATGTCTTTGTGGTTACATCTGATAACAGCATATGCCATCTGTTCAAGTAATGGTCATTTCTGAGGAAAGGATGTAAAAGTATCTTCTAAACTTGGGTTTTTGAATCTGTAGTCTCAACTTTGGTGTTGGATCTAAATGAAACATTCCAAGTAATTTTGCTTTTAAACAAGTTTTTTTTTTTTTTGGTTGGTCGTGGGGCTTGAACTCTGGGCCTGGGTGCTGTCCCTGCACTCTTCAGCTCAAGGCGAGCACTCTACCGCTTGAGCCACAGCGCCACTTCTGATTTTCTAGTGGTTTTTATTGGAGATAAGAGCCTCATGGACTTTCCTGCCCGTGGCTTTGAACGATGATCCTCAGATCTCAGCCTCCTGAGTAGCTAGGATTACAGGGGTTAGCCACCAGCGTCCGGCTTAAACAAGTTTTGTTTAAAGGAGTATTGTATGAAAGTTTACAAGATGAAGCAAGTTCGTTTAGACTTGAATATGTACATAAGGTAAAACACAGGTGTACCACTTGGTTATTGATGTTTTATAAATGTAGTAACTGTTGCTCATTGCTATACAGGTGTAAATAAACATGGCTTAGATTCAATAAAATGAAAAGAGTGTGCACCTCTTTTTGGTTTGACCTCTTTTATCCAGCATAATGCATGTGAATTTCATTCATATTATAGAGTATCTTGTTATTCCATTTTATCCTGAGTTCAGGATTAATGGATTATTCCATTGTCTATTGAGTAGATATGTAGCTACTATATTAGCCTTGTCCTAAACAGTGGTTACAGGCTTGATATACAAGAATGTTTTTCTATATGCATATCTACAATTAAAAAATAAACATTTATGGTCACATGAAGTTACCTCACATGCTACTGTTGAACTGGGAACTGTAAGTTTATATGTTCTAAATGGTAGATAGACCTGAGATGTTTAAGAAAATCTAAGTTCATCTTGCACAAGTATTTGACGATATCTTGCTTCAAAATCAGCTTAGGAATACATAAAATATGTGTAAAGGGCTAGGATGTAGCCAAATGATGGGTGCTTTCCGGGTTTGTGTGAGATCTCAGGTTCTGTCCGCGGCACTAATCTTCATGTATGGTTTACTTTATTAATCTCGAGAAGTAATACCACAAAATGAATCTTGTAGAGAAATAATTTTATAAAACTGTAATTTTATAAAAAATGTTAAACTTTAATGTACATTTTGTAGTTATTTCTAGGATAAATATGTGACAAAAGTATTTTTTTTTAACAGAACAAGACTCCTTTAGTCAATGAGAGCCTGAAAAAGTTTTTAAATACGAAAGACGGTAAGATGGTCCACTTACTATTGTTTATCTTCCTCTGAGTTTTCAAATCTTGTCACCAGTTTGGAAGAAATCAGCAATTTTTAGTATTGTTTTAAAACCTGTGATTTTTTACTAATTATTTTAAAACAGTATTTTACTGTATAACAGCTTGCTATTATTAAATGTTTTTGGTCATAGGAGGTTTTAGATTTAAAGCCAATTTTACCAAAATATCCAATTTTACTATAAGAAGTGCAACTGTGAAGTCCATTTACAAAATACTACATTGTCTTAAAGCTAGTGCCAGACAGATGGTGATCCTAATGACCGAATGGGGAGATTGGTGTTTTCACTGAGTAATTGTATTATTCACAGAGAAGAGATCTGTAGCTAGAAACCTCTTTCTTCCCATTGATTCACAGTGCCCATAAAAAAAGTCAAAGTTCTTAAAGATTTACTTATACATCTTTTTTCTTTGTCTTTGCAGGACGCTTAGTGGCTAGTCTTGTTGCAGAATTTCTTCAGTTTTTTAACCTTGACTTTACCTTGGCTGTTTTTCACCCTGAAACCAGCACAGTAAGAGTAATGATTTTTTTTTAACCTTCCATGAAACATTGATATACACATGAGTTAATATTAAGCTGAGGGGCTGGGAAGGTGGCTCAGTGGTAGAGCACTTGCCTTGCATGCATGAGGTCCTGGGTTGGATTCCTTAGCACCACATAAGCAAAAAGAAAAAAAGCTGGAAGTGGCACTGTGGCTCAAGTGGTAGAGCACTAGCTTTGAGCTGAAGAGCTGAGGGACAGCGCCCAGGCCCAGAGTTCAGGCCCCACAACTGGACCCTCCCCCCCCCCCAAAAAAAAATTAAGCTGAAAGTTAATGGGCTTTGACAACTTTGGTTATTTGCAGATAGATTATTGTTTTTATTTCTTAAAAGCCATCTGGGCTCTCTGAGATGACCATGAGGATTGCTGTTTCCTGTTGCTCAGAAAGGAGTGCTGACTGTGACACTCATTCTGTTAGAATGATGCATTGAAGTTGTTAATACAGACTGACTACTCGTTGTGTAAAAACTAGGCAAACTTAAAGTTATTTCATTAAGAAAAAGGCAGCCTTGTTGAGTTTAGACATTTCCTTAAGTTACTAATTTTTATTTATTTATTTATTTATTTTATTAATTGGTCCTGGGTTTTGAACTCAGGGCCTAGGTGCTGTCCCTGAGCTTTCCCTCAAAGCTAGCACTTTGAGCCACAGCTCCATTTCTGGTTTTCTGGTGGTTTATTGGAGGTAAGAGTCTTATAGACTTTCCTGCCTTGGGCTTTGAACTGTGATCCTCAGATCTCAGCTTCCTGAGTAGCTAGGATGACAGGCATGAGCCACCCAACACCTGGCTAAAGTATTTTTAGTCTCTGAATATTCTTTTGCTGTTTTTGCATACCCTAATCTTACTTCTTTTCTAGTTTCAAGGTTTTGAAGGTCGAGAGAATCTAGCCCGAGATTTAGGTATCATCGAAGCAGAAGGAACTGTGGGTGGACCCTTGCTATTAGAAGTGATTAGACGCTGTCAGCAGAAAGAGAAAGGGATTGCTGGTGGGGAGGTAAGTGTAATCCCGAGTAGCATTTCCTGTCGGCTATTTCAGCCACTGGCTGTATAGGTTAGCCATGCAGGTTAGAACATGTATTGTCAATCAAGGTTTGCATAGAAAGAAAATATTCCTTAAGAGCAAAATGAATTGTACTGAGATTGATTGTATAGATGTATATGTTAATGAAACTTGAAATGTGCACATTATGATACTTTTGTGTGCCACTTTTGGGTGTTAGTGCTCAGAGCATTGGGTTCAGGAGTTAGGGCATGTGGACCAAATTGCAGCTCCTCACTGACCTTGGACATGTGACTTACCCTCCCCATTGCCTAATTTGTAAAAGGAGGATGATAGGATCCCTCCCATGGGTCCCTAGCCCTACACATGCATCAGTATGTGAAAATGTGAAACATGGTATTGCCATGGAAAGCATTCTGTAACGGTTTGTTGTTTTTTTGTTAGTGAAATAATAAAAATCTGATTTTATAGATAATTTTTTGATTTTAAAAAAGATTTTAAAAATAAGCTAATGCTAATCTGTTAATTTTGTTTAGTTTCTAAATATTTTCTAAGTCTTTTTTTTTATAGGCATTTTTGTGTGTTTTGGCACTCGGTGCCTGGGTGCTGTCCCTCAGCTTTTGTGCTGAAACCTAGCACTCTACTGCTGGAACCAAAGCTCTACTTTCAGCTGTTAGGTGGTTAATTGGAGACAAGGGTCTCATGGACTTACTTGCTTGAGCAAGGCTCTGACCATAATTCTCAAGTCTCAGCCTCCTGAGTAGCTAGGATTATAGGCACGAGCCACTGGAAACCAGCTTTAAAGGCTTTTTTTTTTTTTTTGGCGGTCATGGGGCTTGAACTCTGGGCCTGAGGGCTGTCCCTCAGCTCTTCAGCTGAGGGACACGCTACCGCTTGAGCCACAGCGCCACTTCCAGTTTTCTGGTGGTTTATTGGAGATAAGAGTTTCACAGCTTTTCCTGCCCAGGCTGGCTTTGAACCAGGATCCTCAGCTCTCAGCCTCCTGAGTAGCTAGGATTACAGGTGTGAGCCACCAGTGCCTTTAAAGGCTTTTTTGAGGTAGGGTCTCACTATGTAGCCAGGATGGCCTTGAACTTACGATCCTCTAGCCACCAGAGTGCTGACATGTGCTGCTTGCTGTGTCTAGCTCAAATTTCTACTTTCTTGGGTAGCAGACACTTTTTCTTATGTGTAACTCACTTTTTCTTGTGTGTAAACATGCATTAGCATTACATGAAGTTACCCTGTCATACAGACTGGTCACTTGCTATGCTAGTATTTGGTTAAGTGTGCTTTTATTTATAGGAATCCCTTAAGATGATGGAAGATTGGAGGCATTCTGCTATATAATTTGGAGAGTCTCAGTATATTTTCTGTTGGAAGCTTTCAATATCAGTAATGCATGTCTGAGTAGTAATTGCATTTAAGGTGTGGTCATTAGATTCTGTGAGTCATACATGCTAAAAAAGTCCTGTGTCCTCAGAGCTCTTTAAGATAAAAGATATATGCACGTAAGGAAGGTAACCTTTAAAATAAAGATTTAAATTTAAAGATTTTAAATAAAGATTTTAATCTTTAAAATAAAGATTTAAGAAAGATCATACAGTACATGATTATTTACAAATATTCATGACTGTCTTAGGGCTTTGTACATGTGTTTAACCATTTGAACCATACTGAGTCCTTTTTGCTTTAGTTTTTTTTCCTTTTTTTCTTTTAACGTTCTCGTATGTAGGCTCAGGCTGCCTAGTCATTATCTTACGTATACATCCTTCACAGCTGGGAGAGTAAGCACACTTGCCCACCCAGCTCCTGGAGGTGGGGTCTTGTGAGTTTTTTGTGTAGGCTGGCCTTCACAGAGATCCTCTGGATCTTGGCTCCTAGGTAGCTTGGATTTCAGGGGTGAGCCTGTGCCTGGCATAGTTGCTTTAGTTAAAAAGCAGATGGTTTCATGATAAAGTTTTGTGTAATGCAGAGAGTTGGTTATGGTACAAGGATGAAGAATGGTGTCCTAGGAAGGCAGAAGAGTGCTGGCAAAGGGGGAAGGGAGAGCCTGGCCAGGTCTGGGCGGGGGAGGGAGCAGCTGCTGAGTCTGCTGTGCATTATACATTCATCCATTCATTATTCATCAGTTACTTAATAAGTACTTGTTGTGCTAGGTACTAGGTGTAAGATACCCCAGTCTCCTGGGGCCAGAATTCTGCGGTTAGGGTGACAACATCTCAGTTTTGGCTCTCATACTATCTGTAGCTCTGACCTCTTTTCTCTTTCTCCCTGCCCTTCTGAGCTGCTCCTTGGCTGTCCTAATTGCAGCCGTGGTAGCACCCGTTTTTCTCGCTGGTTCTGTTTCCCTTCTTCCACTCCCTAGTGAATAGTGTGAGCTCTGGAGCCTGGCTGCTGGGATGAGTGTGGTATTCTCTGTGCCACTTCTTCCCTCCCCTCCTGCTTGATGCTTTAGAGTACCTCTCTGAAGAGAGGGCTGAACAGAGCTTGCAGTAGGAGCTGTTGGAACACGGGTTGGCAAAGAGACATGAAGTATCAATGGTGGCTGTCTTGTTAAACATGTTTTTTGTATGAATAATTCCCATCACAGGTCAGAATTTCAGCTATTCACTAAACACTCACCTGGATTGACTCACTCCTCTGTATCCTGTGTGGATAAAACTTGACCAAAAAAACTCCTACCCTGCAGACAAGCCTGAATCCAGGTGTTTTTTTTACTGTTTGTGCTGACTCCGTACCTGGAGGCTCATACCCCTGGAGTCATTTGTTGCCTGTAGGCATCAGACTATGGAGGAGTGATTGCTGGAAGGCTTCCTGCTCCACTGGATAGGAGATGGCCTCAGACAAGCTCAGGGTAAGCTTTGTTGTTTAGTTAGGTGCTGTGAAGCCGCAGAACTCCTTCCTGACTGGTAGGTCTGTCTTACCCTGACTATCTTCGCTGTGACTCCCATAGACCAAGTATAGCAAATTGTACTTTCAAAAACAAATGGTTTTGTTCCTTCTAATTTCAAGGTATTAAGTTCTGCGTTTTATCTTAATAGTTGTATCTGGATGTTTTGTTTTAATATACTATATATACATACATAAATATACTACAGTATTTAGAATAAGGAACTTAAAGGTGTCTGTTTCACCCTTTCTTCCACAATTTATTGGTGTTATAATGAAATAAAAATGACAAGCATTGTAAACGGTTGGCTTTGGAGCGCAGGTAGGAAAACTAGCTGGATAACTCTGGGGACTCAGTTACTGGTGCTCTTCACCAAAGCTGCATTTTTACCTCCTTAGAATCCTGGTCGCCTGTAATCCTAGCTACTCAGGAGGCTGAGATCTGAGGATTGTGGTTCAAAGCCAGGCCAGACAGGAAAGTCTGTGAGATTCTTATCTCCAATAAACCACTAGAAAACCGGAAGTGGCACTGTGGCTCAAGCGGTAGAGTCCTCGCCTTGAGCTGAAGAGCGCAGGGACAGCGCCCAAACTCAGAGTTCAAGCCCCATGACCGACCCCCCCCCCCCCCCAAAAAAAAAAGAATCCTGTTGTGCCTGCTGTGCCTTAATGTCTTGATGATTTTATGAAATTGTCCTCAGCTGTGTAATGAAAGCCCTTCCTGTTCTTGGAGCTCTCAGTAAACCAGTCTCACGTGCTTAGACCTTCAGTATCTATGTCTTCATACCTGTTCAGCAATGTCATTTCCTCCCTGGTCTCACCTTTCAGTCTCTTCACTATAGGAATTGTCTTTAAAATGCAGCTCTTCATGGTTTCCTTTCCTTTTTACAAATGGCAGCAACTCTGCAGTGGTGACTTGTGAGTCTCCAGGGTCTTTGTCCCTCACTTGAGATCTGGAGTGGTGTTCTTCCAGCTGCCTATCTAGCCTTAGGAGGACTTCTGTGAGGTACAGAACCTCAGGTAGGCCGAGGGCCTTTTGTCTGGAGTGCTCTGGAATGGAAGCAATTAAGATTTCTGAAGTTTGAGGGTTTGGGAATATTTGCAGAAATTTACCAGGTGAACATCCCAATAACCTTGTCCCACAATTCTGAATTCTGTAGGGTTTAGCATTGCACTTAGAATTTTCACACCAGGTATGTTCAGCCAGTACTTAAGCCAGGCAGAAGCTGCTCCTTGAAAGTGAGTGTGCCTTCTTGCTTTCTCTCATTTTTCCACCCTGTATTCCCTGAACTGATACATACTCTCCTTTCCCATTAGAATTTTATCTATTCAGCTGACTCTTGCTCTTCCTGGTCTTACTTCTGGAAGCTAGTTTGCCAGATTGTAAGTCATCTGTGCTTGCCTTGGCTGTGCCCCCAGGTCCTGAGTCTGTGGGCTCTGACACAGTGATTTAGCAAATGCTAGTTTCTATTTGAGATGAAAAAGTTGTGAAGGTTAGAGAAGACTAGGAAAAGTGAAACCTGTAAGAAAGTAAATCCAGACAATATGGTATCAGGAAGACTTGAAGGAAAGGGACAGAAAAGACTTGGTCTCAAGGGAAGAGTCAATGAGAATTGGTAAATTAGTATTTTGGCAAGGGGCCAAGTCTTAGATGGCAGCGTGGGGAGAGAACATGAGCGTGCCTAGTCTGAGAGAAGGTAATGCTGTCCTTAGAATACTGAAGGAGCGGCACACTTTCATACACAAAACGTAGACTTCCTTAAGTAAAATAGACAATATTTAATATGCACATGGTGGTAATAGATGAGTTTTAAGAAGTGATTCCTATTCAAGAAATACTTTGTTAAATGAAGGAGAGCAATGGGTGAGTCTGATCAAGGTCATTGTATGTATATATGAACAGAACACAGTGCAGGTCCCTTGTGTGACTGACGCTAATGAAAATAGGAAGCTAGTTTTTAAAACTCCTTTGCGTTTGATTTTAAAAATGAAAAACAAAAAAACTACAAAAGCAGAGACCCGAAGTTATAATTATGGACACTTAGAGGATAAGCAGGGAGATCCCAAGCTGCAAGCCAGCCTGTGCTATACAACAAAACCTGTCTCGAGGACAAAACGAAGGGGTTATGAGAGAGAAAGAGAAAATGGCCATTTGAGGAGGTCGGGTTTGTTTTGAGAGCATTTCTTTTGATCTTTGATATTTTTTCCTGGCATAAAATGAAGCAGGAAAGCACAGCTAGGAAGAGGGGAGAAGAGTGATCCTAGTCAGAAAGGAAGGGGTGGGGCAGAGGGAGTCAGTGTTGCACTGGTGGACCCTGTGCCTGTAGCTTGTTGAAGGGACTCTGAGCAGTGCATTGTGCATGGCTAGAATCTAGGGATGGTTTCTTTTGCAGAGTCAGAGAAGATTCTAACAAGATATTTACATTAGTGAGCATTTAGACAAATGTTGATATTAGTGCTCAAATTCCATTGAGATATCATTAAAACCTTATGTTTTAAGGTTTTTAAATGTGTTTTCATTTTAAACTTTGATTTTAGGGTGCACTGGAACTATCTGATGTACATTCTCCATCAAAGTCACCAGAAGGAAAAACAAACTCAAACACAATCCCAAGTAAGGTGAGTTAGCAGCTGATTCAGAAGTCTTGTGTACCCTGGGACTCCTGGGGCTCTACTCCTTTGTTTCAAGTTTTACTTTCTTTGTGACAAGTGCTCTTGAAGTTTCTTTCTTCTTCCTTCTTTCCTTCCTTCCTTCTTTTCTTTTCTTTTTTTTCTTGGTCATGGGGCTTGAACTCTGGGGCTAGGCGCTGTCCCTGAGCTCTTCAGCTCAAGGTGAACGCTCTGCCATTTGAGCCACAGCCCACTTCTTGAAGTTTCTTGAAGGTGCTGTTTCCCCCTGCTTTGATTAAGTGTTTTTTAAAAGTTAGTTTTTTTGTTTCATTTTGTTTTTTTTATGTCTCAGAGAACAAATGCATTCTTAAGTATCAGAATTGCAGAATATTTGAATTCATTTGGTACTTTGAATATTTTTCTCTTCACTCTTAGCTCTCATATATTCCTTGCTCAAGGATAGTAGATTTGGTTATAAAATTGTTATGTTGAATACTGTATACTTCTGATGGACGGCCAGCCATTTGCAGTTGTAAGTTACAGTGGTTATGTATATTAATGAACTTTTTTTGATAGGACTTACAAGATAATGTACTGTGGTTACATTTGTGAGTTTATGTGTGATATGTGTATGCATGCATGTATCTTTGTATGTATGTGTGTGCGTTTATGGGTTGTTAAAGGTAAGATCTGATTTGGAATATGGCATAAAGGAGAAAACAAGTCGAATGCCAGCATTTAAGATCAAAGGCATCTGTTAATAATAGAAAAACAAATAGATGACTTTCAGGAATTGCTGTCTTCTGGTGAATTAATTGCTAGTACTAGCTGGTCCTGTAACAGAATGGATTGGGCCATATACTAATCCACTCAGGCTGCTGTAATGGCATACTGCAGACTGACTGGTTGGCAGTGGCAGGTGGTGAGTTCAGTTCTGGAGGGAAGGCAGTGGTGAGGGCCAGATTGCTGGTTTGTGGATGCTGTCTCCTGTGTGTTCTCAGATGGTGGAGGAGACATTAGAGCTCCCTGGCGTCCCTGAATAAGGGTACCAGTCCCTTTCATGAGTGCTCCACTCTTTTGACTGATCACCTCCCACAGGCCCCATCTCCTAATGCATTCATTACCTAGAGGGTGTGACTTCAGCATGGTGATTTCTTGAGGACAGGCAGTCTGTCACAGGTCCAGTTGCATTCGGTGACTTTACATTTGACTTCTACCTCATGGGAGTAGATGAGGTATGGAGTACACATGGCAAGGCGAGGCTTGTGTGGGTCCAGGGAAGTGCACTGATTTTCAGGTACAAGTTGCATGTTTTCAAATCAGGTGAAACTCCAGAGATTAGTAATTTTACCTCCAGCTCTCTTTCTTTTTTAAATGTCGTAAGCATGTAACATTGCTAACAATTGCTGCTGTTACTTCTTGTCACTCAGTGACTTGTTCCGTCCATTTTGGAGAGGGATGGACGGCCTTGGAAGTGCTGCTCCCTTCAAGGTGTCCACTTAGTTTTAATTGACAAGATCTTTTCCTAAAAGTTTCTTTCTTGATGCATGCGAGAGTCTGTAGCCCTGATAGATTAGTCCTGAGTCCATTTGACAAATATCTTCAAATTAACTGTTGATAAAAGAGCTTGTGGAAGGAAGGTTTATTTTTTCCATGAAAAATCTGACATTAGAGGTTAAAATGAAGGAATATTCTAAGTGACTTTTCAGTATCTGTAGTACTGAGCTATTTGGAAACTCTCTTTCTCTCTTTAGCAAATAACTTTAAAAAATTATGCTAACCTTCCAGGTAAGGTATATCTTTAAGAAAACAACAACTCTGTTTTACATACTCCCTACACATAAAGATGATTTAAAGCTAAGAATAATTCAAATTCTGTGTTAAGTGAGTTTGGAAATGCTGCTGCTCATCTCATTCTCCTAGAGAAGTGGTGATAATCTCTCATGGTCAGTTTAGAGAACAGTATCTACCCCCCTCCTCCATGATATCCCACTCCTGCCCTCCCCTGTGGCTCTCCTGCCCCTTCTGCCTCCTCCCCCTCCATGGCACCACACTGCTGCCACAGTGGTGGTGGGTTATTATATGGTATTAGGTAGTACCATGTGACTTGTCAGTTTACAGCTCTCCCTTCAGATACTTACTGGCTGGGCTAGGATGGTTCTTAGATTGCAGTTCTTCTGTAGTCTTAAAGCAGGGGTGGGGACTTCTATGTCCAGGGCTGTTTGGATATTTATGACATCCTTGGGCCATATAGACTCACCAGTACAGACAGATGGGCTGCTGGCAGCCCATGTGAAGCATACAAGATTCCTAGGGCCTTCCCTGGTCTGACAGATGGGAAATGAAAGATTCCTTTAGGGACTAAAGGATTTGGACTTAGGATCCTAGTACTTTGCTAGTGCTGCCTCTTCTTGCCAGTCACCTTCCTGTCATCCCTGTCAGCCTGGAGAGCCACAGAGAGCACGAGGGCCTCTGAGAAGCTGTGATAAAGCACAGCCTGTGGTGCAGGCCTCCTGTGGAAGGTCAGGGGAGGTCTGACAAGACCACCCAGAGCTTCAGGGTTTACTAGAACCAGAAGGATGCTCGTGTAGTGGGGAAGCCGCCAATGTGGTGCTACAGCAGATCAGGTGCTGGCCTCTGTGTCCACAGCCTGCCAACCATCATGAACCTGTCAGACTTGAGCTGACACGGGCCTGGAGGAAAGTCCAGCAAGGCCAGAAGAGAGCGGGCTTTGGAGAGGAGCAGATGCATCAGATCCTCCATTTCTAAGAGAGCTACTGGGAATCATACTGGTTTGGGGTTGAGTTAGTTTTTTTGTAAAGATTTACATGTTGTGGTAAAATGTCATTTTATTCTCATGCTCAGATACCAAGGTATAAAGGACAAGGTAAGAAGAAGACAAGCGGGCAGAAGTCTGGTGACAAGGTAACATGCATGAGGGCAAAGGAGAAAGCAGCCTGTGCCAAGACAGACCCCCAGATTCACAGGCCTCCTGCTGGCCTGGGTTTTCAGCTTTCTTTTGAACTGTTAACTGCCATCTAACTGATCAAAATATGAGGAAGTAATGTTGGTTTAAAAGAAAAAGTAGTTTGTAAGTTTTATCCAGGTGAAAATCATACTGTTGTGCTTAGTTTTACTTTGAAAATTGATGTTTCATTGACAAAAATGAGTTGAAATTTGTTTATTTATATATTGTCCCAATACTGGGGCTTGAACTCAGAGCTTGGGTACTGTCTCTTAGTTTTTGTTTTTGTTTTTGTTTTTTTGCTCAATGTTGGTTCTCTACTTTTTGAGCCACAGCACCACATATGACTCTTTGGTGATTAATTATAGGTAAGTCTCGTGGACTTCCCTGTCTGGGCTGGCTTTGAACCTTGATCCTCAAATCTCAGCCTCCTGAGTAGTAGGATTTCAGGTTTAAGCCACCAGTGCCTGGTTCTGTTATGTTCTTTTTGATGGATGATCATGAAATTAACACTATGATTTTTACCTGAGGAAAATAGAATATCACATTACTTTTTGGGTAATTTGGATAATTTCTAACTGATAAGGGCTACCCCTGGTTTCCTTCCAGAACATCTTGTACAGAGATGTCTCTTGACCTTTGCTCAGGCCTCTCTTGGTGGGAAGTCCTGCACAGCAGTCAGGCTGCTTTTTCTTCCTCCCCTAAAGATCACAAACTTTGACCAAGACAGTAGATTAGCTGCTTATGAAGCTTAATGAATAGAGGTCTTAGATACATTATAGTTTTTACATCTATTTAGAATAAGACAAAAAGATTTTAGCTTTTAGTTCTCAGAAATGTACTAGTCTTACGATGAGTGAAAGACTTAAAAAAAAAAAAAAGAAGCTATGTTAGCTCTGTTAACTGTTTGCAGTTGGGTAGTTTCCAAGGTAAATTTTGTAATTGTAGACTTTTTTTTTTGTTCCCACTGTTCTTCATCCACTGGTTAATGAACAAACAAGCTGATGTTTATTAACTAGCAAATATTTTGGAGTATTTACATAGTGAAGTCATTTAATGCTACAGGCCAGACACTTAACCCTTGCTTAAGGAAACCTCAGGCTAATTGCAGAGGTGAGATAACCTTAAGATTGGTTACTAGGAATATTAAAGAAGTAGCTTTTATTTCCTTAGATTCTTTTAAGATTCTTTTTTTTTTAAGAAAGAAGAATATTAAGTATTACATATAGTATTATCGTTTAGTATCATGGGTCTTAAAGAAGGTAAAATACTTAGAATAAGCTCATATATAAAGCCAAGTATACTAAGAGACATAGTTTTTTCACTGTGTGTCATGTGACACAGCTGGGGTTGGTGGTTGGGGCCGGCCTGGACCTCAGCCTTCACTCTGCAGTGGGCAGGGCCTCTCTTGCTCTGATGTGAGAAGGGGATCCAGACCTGGCCTCATCTCAGAGTGGGGCTGTAAGTTGGACTCCCTATTCTCTTGTTGTTCTCCTGAGCTCAGGATAGTTACTTCAGTCACTTTGAACCCTTTTTCCCTTCGCTGATCTTATTTCTGAGTGGCCTTTGCATGAATTACACTCAGCATTGCCTTTTTCCAGAATTAGACGGATAAGCCTTTAACTTTCCTTTGCTTTTCTGCCTTGCCCTGTGCATGAAGTAGGTTCTCACCATCCTTAACATCACAGCTCAGTCAGATAGCTGGCCACTTGCTTGCATGTGGGGTTGTTGAGGTTGTGCCTACCAGAACTCCAGAGGGAGCTATTCCAATGGCAGGTGACTAGCCTTTCCCATATTGTGTGCAGTAGGACATGAAGTGCCATGAAGTGGGGTGTCCCTGGGAACTTCTCTCTGGGGAGCACTGGCGCCCTGAGCCAGGAGTGTGGATATGTCTCCAGGTTTGCTTTCAACTTGCATGCAGGAAGGGTCAGGTATTCATAGTTCATTGGAGTTCCAGGGCAATTTGTTCAGGGAAGCTATATTTATAAAACTGGTTAAAATCATTTATATATGAGTATAAACAGGTTTGTAAGGTTTTTGAGCTAGCGTAACTTGAGTAAAAATAGCAGATCTTGTTACCGCTGTTCAGAGACAGTGAAGACCAAGTTAGAGATTGGGACTACAAAGATGGTAAATATTAACTGTGAAGGTTAGATTTAGAAACACATTTTTCCAAGTTGTAGACACCCATGATAGTTTATTTCATTGTATCCCATTTTGTTTTCTGAACACTGTCCAAACATAGTATCTAAAACATGTGCAAAAGTCCAATAAGCCTGTATCTCAGCATGAGGGAGGCTGAGGCAGGAGGGTCTTGAGTTGCAGGCCAGCCTGGGCTACATAGTGAGACCCTACTTCAAAACCCCCCAAAAGAAGCCAGGTTTTGGGGCTCATACCTTGTAAATCCTAGCTACTCAGGAGGCTGTGTTCTGAGGAACAGTTTGAAGCTAGCCCAGGCTAGCTAGGAAAGTCTGTGAGACCCTTATCTCCAATTAACCACCTGAAAACTAGAAGTGGAGTTGTAGCTCAAAGTGGGAGAGCACTATCCTTGAGCAGAATAATTCAGGGACAGCACCCAGGCCCTTAGTTCAAGTCTCAAACTGATCTTCCCCTTACCCCCCCGAAAAAATACAAAAAGAATAACTCTTACAAGCTAATAAAATAAATGTAAACAAAAGCAAAAAAAAAAAAAAAAAAAGACATTCAGGTTCTTACCACTTAGTTGGGAAAACTGAGATACTAGATGCTTCTTGTTTGGGGCAGACTGTGTTAGGGGCTCACACATGTTAGGCAGTCCTTGTACCACTGAGAGCATTGCCTGCTTTGTATCATGACATTTGGTGTAAGACAAACTAGTTCTCAAGTGTGTAGAACCAAAGTCTGCTATTGTACTTGTTATCTTTACTCTTAGCAATGTGACCTTATTGTTTCTTACTTTCAGTATTCTAGAAGCAGCTCAGGTCAGTGATCATGATCCCAGTGACCACATTGTGTTTGTGTCTTGGGCAGTCAAGTCACCTCAGTTTTCTAAATAAAATAAGCATCATTGATACTTTAACTCACAGCCCTACATTCTGGATAGCTGGGTAGGTGGATGTGCAAATGGTTGGGCTGAACTCTTTGCTCTTCCAGTCCTGCCTGCCCAGCTCTGATTTCCTCCTCTTGAGCTTCTGGGCTGCTTCTCTTGGCACTGCTTGTCAGCTGAACTTGGTAGGCAGGGCCAGAGGGTGAGGATGCAGGGTGGACTGGCTGGGAATGGGGCCATCTCCTGTGCTTGCTGCAGACCAGCAGATTGTGGTTTTTCTTTGGAGCATATGCTTACACATGGTAGAGATGGGATTTTTCTATCCACACTAAGGTTTTTGGAAGATAGTTAAATGTTTCAAATTTCTACAGTCCTTCAGTATTGCTTTTCTAGACAAGCAAATTAAACCTGTTAGATATGTGTGCCTGTTAGAACTAGAGTAAAAGTCTCTCAGGACTTCATTAATAAGTCATGTAAAAAAGACAGATTTTGACAGAGGGAGGGAGAGAGGTAGAAGGGAGTGGGAAAAAATTAAGTATTGAGTGATCTTTTGACACTTTTATAGTTTCTGGAGTATTTCTTTGACTCTGTTAACAATTTCCCTATAATTTCATGATACAGTTCAATCTAACAAAGCTATACCAAAAAATAACTTCCAAGGCATTGAATTACACTAACTGATTTGTTTCTTGCATCTTAAGTTTATTTAAGTCTAGGTGTTAGAAAGCTCTAGTAACTGGAATTTAATGTATGGCATGGTAAGGGTTTTGCAAGCAGGTTAGGGGTTAAATGTATACGTAGACATTAAAATTGCTTCATTAAAATCTCTACGTGTGACTTTTTCTAATAGGGAAAATTGTTGATTGTAATCACCTGTTCTCCCATGTGTGGTTTAGAAGTTGATCTTGAGAACAGTTTTAGAGAGATTCTTTTAAAAGTTTTTCTGCTATAAATAGAACCTTATGTTTAGAAGGAAGTAACCCTAAACTTGCCTTAAGTCCTATTGTAACTAATGTCCTTCCCTATGAAATTTGTTTTCTCAAGACCTGTTCTCCTGGGCATATCAGGAATATCACCAAATCAGGCAAAAAGTAACCATGGCTCTGTATAGTCACTAAGTTAGATATTAGCTAGTTCATGATACACACTTAGGGTCTGTTAGTAACAGAGCTCACAGCTGTTGCTGTCCCTGATACTGCCGTATGTCATAGTTCAGTTTGGCTTCTGCAGTTCTACCTTTTGACCATTCTCAGAGGACTTTAAAAGGAGAGAGTCAGGACAGTTGCTACTTGTGAATCTGTTTAAATATCACCAGATTTCAGGGCTTTTATTTTTAATTTCTTTGTAAAGATATCAATTGATTATTTAAATGTGCCAGTCAATTTATAGAATGTAACTAGGGTTCAGAAAACATAAGTACATAAGACTTCTATATTTTGCAATAGCAAGAAAACTTCAAGAGAAATTCAGGAGAGCTCTTTGAAAACATCTCATACTGTCTAAAAGGATAAGGATTTGACACATTTATTTTTCCAGACCTTTTTTTGTGTGTAGGTGTGCCAGCCCTAGGGCTTGAACTCAGTGTCTAGGTGCTGTTCCTGTTTCTGTGCTCAAGGCTGGCACTCTGCCACTTGACCTACAGCTCCATTTCCAGCTTTTTGGTATTAATTGGAGGCAAGAGTCTTATATCTTTTCTTGCCTAGGTTGGTTTTGAACCATAATATTCAAATCTCAGCCTCCTGAGTAGCTAGGATTACAGGCTTGAGCCACCAGTGCTGGGCTCAGACATTTCTTTTTATGATAATTAAGTTTTCTCTAGTAATAATTCATAAAATACTCTATAGAGTTTGTATAATACTTCTCTTGCCTCTGGCTGCTAAACAGGGCTACTAGCGAATAAAAATGTAGACAAATTATGGCTTAACACATGCTATCTATGTATAGGAAAAGCAGAATAGACCTTTCTAACCCAAGGTGATTCTTAAGGAAACCCACACTTGAGGAAATTACAGTTTGTAGTGAAGGGCAGGCGATACTCCAGATTCATAAGTTTATATTGAAGATGGGTTAAGTAAGGCCTGGCGTGTAGTGTTTGAATGCTGTTGTTAGCTGCTATTTTTTTTGTTGTTGTTGTTGTTCTTTTTGGTGGGGGAGAGGGGTAGTCCTGGGGCTTGAACTCAGGACCTGGGCAATGTCCCTGAGCCTCTTTTGCTCAAGGCTAGCCCTCTACCACTTGAGCCACAACACCACCTCCAGCTTTTTCTGTTTATGTGGTACTGAGGAATAGAACCCAGGGCTTCATGCATGCTAGGCAAGCAGTCTACCACTAAGCCACATTCCTAGCCTATAGCTGCTATTATTGTTAGCTTTAGTTTGTCTTCTTGGTCATGGACATAGACATGTCTAAGGACAAAGAACTCTTAACAAGGATAGAATAAAAGGAGACTGTGGTGGTTAGAACTAACAAAACAAGAAGATTCAATGTAAAATTGTGTACTGTCCTCACTGTGTTGTGTGTCAGCAGTGCTTGGGTTGGGATGTGGGAGATTTTTCTATCTTGGTTTAAGATATATAGAAAAAACATTTCAGGAGATGTAGGTCTGAGTTAGATAATTACTATAGCTAGCCATCTTCACCCTAGATGGCTACATGCTTGGAGCTGGGTGCAACTGCTCTCTTTTCTGATGAGATTGTGTTCACTTACGTGACACAATCTTCCTTTTAATCATTATGTTCTGTCCTATTTGCAGGTTCAAAATGTATTGATTTAAGCTATGGACATACATAGGAAGTGGGAAAAATTGTTTTAAATGAGAAAGTTGTTTTATGTGAATAGGAATAGTAAAGATACCACCAAGAAGGGAGAGAGGGAAAGAATGCTGTGGACAGATTAAAAAAAATTTTTTTTTTGCCCTGCTAGGCACCAGTGGTTCAGGCCTGTCATCCTGGCTACTCAGGAGGCTGAGATCTGAGGATTGTGGTTTGAAGCCAGCTGGGCAGGAAGGTCTGTGAGACCCTTATCTCCAGTTAACAACCAAAAAAACAAAACCCCACCAAAAACAAACCAAAATGCTGAAAATGGAGCTGTAGCTCAAGTGGTAGAGCATTAACTTTGAGCAAAAAGCTCAGGGACATCACCTAGGTCCTTAGTTCCAGCCCCAGGACTGGAACACCCCCCCACACAAACAAAAAAATTGCCCTTTGAAAATTGACCATGTTAGGAAGCCTGGGATGAAGTGATGCATCATGAGATTGCATTGCAGTTTATGTTGTTGTGAGACCACATGTGTGCACATACACGCACACTCCACGTGGCCACACATGCACACACAGATTTCTGTGTTCACCTGATTTCTCTTACTTAAAATAATTTTGCGTGTATGTGGTGCTGGGGTTTGAATACAGGCCCTTAATTGCTAGGCAGGTATTCTACCACCTGAGCCAGAGCCCATGTTCCCTCTTGTTATTTTTTCATTAGGGTCTTACATTTATGCTCAGGCCAGTCTGGACTGCTATCTTCCTTTTTTTTACACTTGCTGAGTATCTAGCATGGTGTGTGACATCACACCCAGCCCTTGGTTGTCTTACCAATGTTTTGCCTAGTTGGCTTTGAACTGTAATCCTCTCAATCTCAGCCTTCTGGGTAGCTATAATTATAGGCATGAGATAAACCATCATGCTGTTTTATTTAAAATACCTTACAGTTTTTTTCACCAAGACCTTTCCTCTCTCCCTCTTCCTAGAAGGCCAGCCTGGAGGTCAGTCAGAGTGATACAAGTATCTCCTCATCAGAACAAAAGAGCAAAAGCAGTCTGCACTCATTAGCCCATGAAACAAAAATCGGGTCTTTCTTCAGCAACACCTCTTTAGATGTCAAAGACAAAGCTGGCGTTGATGCAGATGAGGATGATATGGAAGGAGACTCATTCTTTGATGATCCCATCCCTAAACCCGAAAAAACTTACGGTTGGTGAGTAGACTCTTTGGATTATCTAACTAGAGTCTTACAAATATAACTTCTATTTTTATTATATGCATAAAAAGCAATGATTTAATAGTTCCATAATTATTGAATCCATAAATCTGGTTTGTGTCATTAAAACTTGTTATGCTGTTAAAATCATCCCAGGTTTTTGAAGAAACCAGATAAAACTTGTTTTACTGAGCTAGCCTTCATTGAGTATCTGCCACATGACAGATGCTCTTTTAGGGAGAGAGTGCAGCAATATTAGAAGAGTCAAAATTCTCCCTCCCCCCCATGGAGTTCACCCTCTGACTCTGATGAAGTGTTGGGTGATGGGAGCAGCTCTGGCCATGTGGACTTCAGTGGCACATCAGAGAAGGGCGACACTCAAGCTGAGCTGAAATCTGCAGAAGGCACACAGAATCTGAGGTCATAGAGCTCTTGGAGAGGAGCCAGGAAATGCCAAGGTGTTCTACCAGCCAGAGGATAGCAGCAAGAAAGTACAGTCATGGCAGAGAAAGTGAGGGGTGGTACAAGGTTAGCCCAAAGATAGAGGCTGGCTGGCTGTAGGAGGGTGATGAGACTCATCACACAGGGCAAGATGGGCCCAGGTTGCTCTGCACTTGGGCACAGGGTTTCCAAGAGGGGATGCTTAAGATATTCAGGTCCCGGTGCTGCACCCCGGGTAGGAGCTGCATGTTGGCTGCCACGCTTGCCCTGGGGCTACGGCGATGCCCCTGCTCCCCAGGTTGTGACTTCAGGGTGGGGTGGGTGACAGACAGACAGACTGACCTACAGATCCTCACTGGCTCTGGAATGCGTGCATGGAGTAGAGGTGATGGGGAAGGGCAGACCCCGCCGGTGTCCCTGTTAGAGCCCAGGAACTGTCAATCACAGGGCTTGCTTGAAAGCCACCTGGTTCAGGCCCCTGTACCATACACACATATATATGGATTGAGCTCAGAGCCTTGTTAATGGTGAGAGGGCCCACTTTTGAAGTACCCGGTGTGAGAGACAAGCACATGAACCAATATGGTGCTTCCTTTTCAAAAGTTGCTGGAGAAGAGGCTGGGAAGATGGCTCAGTGGTAGAATGCTTGCCTTGCATACATGAGGCCCTGGGTTCAATTCCCTCAGCACCACATAAGCAGGAAAAGCTGGAAGTGATGCTATGCTCAAGTGGTAGAGCACTAGCCTTGAGCTGAAGAGCTTGAGGGAGAGCGCCCAGGCCCAGGGTTCAGACCCTATGATCGACAAAAAAAAAAAAAAAAAAAACTGGAGAAATACAAGAACATCAATGAAAATGAGCTCCTTGGCAAACTGTCAGAGGAGGAACTAAAACAGTTGGAAAATGGCCTAGATGACCTTGATCCTGAGAGTACAACACTTGGGCTTGATTTCAACAGAAGGACCAGACACAGAAAACAGCCACTGGCCCATTTGACCTGGGTCAGATGGTACAGTTGAGCAGTTGTGTGAATGCCCGGAGTGTGGCTTACTGGTTTAAGAAGATGTTGGTTGGATGGTCAGTAGTCTATTGGACTGTGAGAGTGGCGAATAAGAGAGGGGCTTGCATTTGAGCTGTTGATGAGGCAGTTGTGTAGTTTGTAGGTAACTTTGAAGCCAGGAGACTGGAGGAGATAAGAACGTGGGCCCTGTGGCACCCCTAGTCATTCAGGTGAGCAGGAAATGTAAAGGAGATATAGAGAACATTGAGAATAGGTGTCTTTGTAAGAGCAGGCAGAGGGAGCAGTTCGGATTTAGACATACGGAGGTTAGTAGTGTCCTTGGCAGATGGTTTTACCAGAATGCAATAGGTACAGGCTTTTGATGGTGCCCAAGAAGGAATGAGAGGATAGGGTTGTAAATGACAATTGTCGGATGAGTCACAAAGGCTCCAGAGGATTGGCGTGGTGGCTATAGGGTCATAATGTGGGCTTAAGCAGTTTGTTCATGTACGAGACCTAGCTCTTCCTCTTCTTAGTCAGAGGTTCTTCAACTTCCTGGTTATTCAGGAATCACCCTGGAGTCCTCTGGTTCTTTAACGTATCAACAAAACCTTCTGGGTAGAACCTGAAAATACTTTCAACACTCATGACTTTTACCATCCTCTCTTGTCCGAATATCTTTTTTTTTTTTTTTTTCAAAGAATAAAAACCAATTTAATGTGGAAGTTCTTCTTTTTTTTTTTTTGGGTCCGGTCGTGGGGCCTGAACTCTGGGCCTGGGCGCTGTCCCTCAGCTCTTCAGCTCACGGCTAGCGCTCTACCACTTGAATCACAGCACCACTTCCGGGCTTTTTTTCTTTTTGCTTATGTGGTGCTGAGGAATCGAACCCAGGACCTCAGGCATGCAAGGCAAGCACTCTACCACTGAGCCACCTTCCCAACCCCTTAATGTGGAAGTTCTTGGGAAACAAAAGGGCTGTCTTTTTGTCCTTCAAGTTCCCATAATTTTTTCTTGATTTTTTTCTCTGGGTAACCGTTTTGTAGAATGGGCACTGTGTGTGCACTTTATAGCAAAGTGTTTCAGATAAGTATCTGCTTCTTAGGACAGGAGAATGAGTGATGTGAGTGCTGTCTAGTTGCAGGATGCAGTGTCCAGGGAAGTTGCCCTTGCTAATGGAGGAAGGAGAAGCAGAGGGGTCTGTGAGTAGCACCTCTGCACACTCTCATGCACCTAAGTTAACAGCCAACACTATGCATTCCTGTAAGGTGAGAATGGACTAGAAAGTACAGGCCTGCCAAACAGGGTAAACCATACCTTCAAGATGGGATGAGCATGACTCAAAGGCCATTGGGGCTTTCTGAGCAATACTTATACCTTGGTTGTATATCTGGGTGACAAAAACTTCTGAAAACAATCATAGGTAGTGAAAACATTAAAGCTGAACTTTTGCAGTGATGAAGAGTGAGCGAGTTGTTACTGACAAACCTGCTGTGTGGATTTGTGCTTCATCGGCGGTAGGCATACTGATCATCATCGGACTTGAAAGCACGTTGCTTATACCCAGAACAATAGCTCCTGACTTTGTAGTGGCAGAACAAAAGTTTTTAATGGCAGAAACTGAGATTACCACTTAACTGTCGCTTCTTGTTGGTAGGAGAAGTGAGCCCAGGAAGCAAGTGGGAAGCCTAGCCTCACTCTCGGATGTACCCCCCGTGAGGAGTGGACTCAGCTCCCTGGCTGGAGCCCCTTCCTTAAAAGACTCAGAGAGTAAGTGTCTAAATACACACAAATACTTTTTTTTTTTGACAAACTAGTGTGTAATTGTTGATTTTCTTCCCCCAGGAACGTGTGAAATATAGATAGTAATTTTATCATTTAGATTTTTCCAATTAATAGTGTTTTTTTGTTTGTTTTAAATTTCTTTTCATTTATTTTTGTTGTAAACGGTACTGTGGTCCCTTAGTATCCACAGTTTATGGTTCTAGGAGACTGCTACTAATAAAAAAATTAATGCTCAAGATGCCTAAAGTTATTACTGTGTTTTGGTTGCCTTTTTTCCTGTAATGTCAACTTCTGCTAAAGACATACAACCTTTAAACAGGTGTAAAATGTACACGTTCATCATTTAAGGTAACATGCCTTTTTGACTAAGGACAATTTCCATAACTAACCTTTTGGGGCACTGTTTGCTTTTGGAAAGCAGATTTTCACAGAATTCAATCCACAAGGCAGTACTTGTGGATTCCACGAAAACAACTGATGGACTGACTGACTGAGGCAGTGAGGGAATTAAAAGGTTTGGGCTTAAAAGTCAAAACTTGAACCCTGTGTAATACATTCTTACTTTTAAATTTTGGCTCCCTCAGGGATTGAACCAGGGCCTTATGCTTCCTTGGTGAGGGGGAGCTCTCCCATTTGAGTCCTTTTGTTTTTGTTTTGCATTTGAGATAGAGTCTTACTGACTTTGCTGGGCTAGACTTGAACTGGAGATCCTCCCACCTCTACCTCCATAGTACAGGATTATAGATATGTGCAACCATGCCAGCTTTCTCTGGCCTTTTCCTCTGCTATAGGAACACTTCAAGGAAATATACTTCTATGTTGACTTATTATTATATAATACAACATATATATATATATATATATATATATATATAGCCCCAGCTAATGATGATCTGGCATATGAGTTTTGGATTTTATGTAAATTTTATTCAAAAGGAAATCATACCTTGAACTTTGATCCTCTGTCCTCTATCACAGTATTGGACAGCAGGAACTGGAACTACACTCAACCACAGGACCCTAAGGGAAAGATGCTGTACAGTGCACTGTGCTGTGTTGTTCAATAGGTTAGGTCTAGTAAATACAGTTTTCATTTATAATCTCTTATTGGATATTCAAAGTGACTTGTTGGTTTTAAGTCCATTTTTTTAAAAAGTGGGGTTCACGTTTATAATTCTAACTCCTTGGGAAGTAGAGACAGTAGGATTGAGCTTGAGCTGTCTGAAAACAAAACAAAAAAATTGTTCTGTGAAACTAGGGTAATCATGATAGGAATGTTAGATGAAACACGGTTTGCAGGACCATAGATCTGGGATGTCTTTATGTGTACAAGAGACAGAGATAGCACACCTGGAATTGTGTGTAGCCCTAAGGCAAAGTCTGGTGGCTCATGCCTGTAGCTCTAGCTATTCAGGAGGCTGAGATCAGTCTGAGGATCATATTTCAAAGCCAGCCCCAGCAGGAAAGTCTGTGGAAACTCTATCTTCAATTAACTATCAAAAAGACAGAAGTGAAGCTGTGGCTCAAGTGGTAGAAAACTAGCCTTGAGAATAAAAACTCAGGGACAGCACCTAGGCCCTGAGTGCAAGCCCTAGGACCACACACATACACACACACATATACATACTCTCTCTCTCTCTCTCTCTCTCTCTCTCTCTCTCTCTCTCTCTCTCTCTCATACCTAGGTCCTGAGTTCAAGCCCTAGGACCACACACACACACACACACATTCATACATGTGCACACCCAGCATGGCCCTAAATGTGTAGTTCTGCAGTCCATACTTTGTGCCAAATCACTGTCAGTATAGCACATACCTGTGAGTATGGACACAGGTTTGCTTCTTCAGAGCTTCCTGGCGTAGTCTTAAGAAAACCTTCAAATAGCTGACAAGCAATTTCAATTGAACAGACCCGTTTGTGCGTAGTGTCTTGCTCAGTGTCGCCCCTTCCACCATCCTCTCTTCCATCACCACCTGTCTCGAGTTTCCTAGCTCCGTTTTCAGGTCTGCACATTGAGTTGCCCACATTCATCTTTCCATTCACCCACCCACTGGTGTTACTCAAAGTATGTCTCATGTCTTGATACTCATTTTGTTGAACTGACCAAAGGAGTCACACTGCAGAATTCTGTTTCCTTTATCATACTTCAGTCAGTTTGCTTGTATGTATGCTTTCGTATCTGTTTATATTTTAGATTGAATATCACATATGAGAGAAAACATGCACCCTTTGTTTTTCTGAGCCTGGCTTACTTCATATGATTTGTTGTAGGGTCCTCCATGTCTTTGCAAACAATATATATAATATTCTTCCTGATGGATGAATAAAATTGTGTGTGTGTGTGTGTGTATACACATACCACATTTACATTTTCTTGATGCATTCATTATAGGACATCTGGTCTGGGTCCACCATTTGGACTGTTATGAATACTGTTCAGGAATGGCATTGCTGGATTATAGGGTAGTTGGCTTTTTTTTTAAAATTTTTTTTAAGGAATCTCCATAGTGACTTCCACAGTCATCTCCTGAATTGACTTTCTACCATCATTATAATATAGGGTTCCTTTTCCCTACATCCTTGTCAGCATTTTTGTTGATGGCATTGTACCTGGAGTGAGATAGAATCTCAGGGTTATTTTCATTTTCATTTCCTTTATAGCCAGGGATGCTGAGCAGTTCTTCATATGTTAATTGACTATTTTCACTTCTGAGAGAGTTCTATATCATTCCTTTAGCCTATTCATTAATTGGGTTATTATTTGGGGTTTTCAAAACTCCCTGTATATTCTAACCTTTGTTAGATATACAGCTGGCAAGGATTCTGTAGTCTCTTTTCAGATTAGTGATGATATCCTTCACAGTGCTGTTGAGCTTGATGTAATCCCTGTCAGTTCTCCTTCCTATTTGGTGAATGACTGGAGTTATAATTCAGGAAGTTTCTGCCTATGCCACAAAGTTCTAGTGTTTACTTTTTCTTGTTGTAGTTTCAAAGCAGATCTTGAGGTGTTTCATCTCCTCTGAATTGGTATTAACACAGGGTGACAGTGATTCCATTCTATCGTTCTGCATGTGGATATCCTGTTCTCCCTTCTCCATTTATTGCAGAGGCTTTTTTTCAACATGGACTTTAGGCTCTCATGTCAAAAATCAGATGGCTATAGATATATAGGTTCATTTCTGGGTCTTCTAATTTGTTCTATTGGTCTTTAGGTCTTTTTTTTTTTTTTCCTGGTACCAAGCTGTTTTTTATGGCTCTGTAGTAAAGTTTGAAGCCTGGAATTGTGATATCTCTAACAATGCACCCCCATTTTTGTTGTTGAGGATTGTTTTGGCTATTTGGGGCCTATAGTGATTGCAGATGAGTTATAGAATTGGGATTTCTATAGCTGCAAAGAATGACATTGGGATTTTGATGGGTTTTGCATTGACTTTGGCAATATAGCTATTGTCACAGTATTAATTCTGCCAATCCATAAACAGGAGAGTCTTTCCACCTCTGGTGTCTTCAATTTTTTCAAGGTTTTCTACTTTCACTGTAGAGGTCCTTCCTATCTTTGGTTTGGGATTTGTGTGTATCTGTGTGGGTGTGTTGTCCTGTGGCTTGAACTTGGCCTGGTCATTGTCCCTGAACTTTCATGCTTAAGGCTAGTAGTATTCAACCAATGGAGCCAAGCTCTATTTCTGGCTTTTTGATGGTTAATTGGAAATAAATAATCTCACAGACTTTTATTTGTGCTGGATTTGAACCACAATCTTCAGATCTCAACCTCCTGAGTAGCTAGCATTACAGGCATGAGCTACCTGCTCCTAACTTTGGTTAAGTGTATTCCTAGGTACTTTCTTTGAGGCTATTTTTCTGTTAATTTTATTCTCTTCTTTCTTACTAATGTAGATAAATGAGGAATCTCCATTATTGGTTTTGTAATTTGTGGTACAGTTGTGATTAGAACCTACAAGTATGGAATCTCAATGTTGTTTTGGTTTGCAAATGTTAAGCAAAGGATATTTAGCCAACAAACTAAAAAGACAGCCTATAGAATGGGAGAAGATTTTTGTCAGCTACACATCAGAGAATGGCCTAATACCCAGAATATACAGTGAACTCAAAAAAAATAAACCAACAAAACCAATAACCCAATTAATAAATGAACTAATTAGCAAAAGACAGTCTTAGAAGAAGAAGAAGTGAAAAGGGCCAGTAGAAGAAAATACTCAACAGTTTGAACTCTTGAATAAATTATCCACTGGTGAACTTAGCCCCCTATGGTCCAGTCACACTACCAGCTAGGAACTGGACCTTTGCCATGGAATGGGACACCCTGCATCCTTACAACCACAGCCATGATCATTATGGAGGATGATAGTTTAGGGAGGAGGACTCTGGGACCTAAGGATTGAGGAAAAACTGTAAGGCTGGGTTGGTAAATGAGATAGCAATTGAATGGAACATTCCAAGGAAATACATAGTCCAAGAACTTACTGAAATGCCAGTAAAGAGTCTTGTCAGTAAAGAGTCTTGTTTTGGTTAAAAAGGGAGACAGTGTATGAGTCAAACAACTGATAATGACAATTTATAAGTTTTTCTAAGTTGTAGCTTAATACAAAGTCTCAAACTGCAAAAAAAAAAAAAAAATGAAAACACAGCTTAGAGGACATTGTATTCTAAAAGTTACTTTAATGCTGATACTGTTTTTTTTTCCTTTCACAGGTAAAAGAGGAGGTGCAGTTTTGAAAGATTTGAAATTAATCAGTGATAAAATTGGATCGCTTGGGCTAGGTAATTTGATTTTTAATTTTAGTGTTGGTTGCTTTTGGGATAAAGTCTTGGCTGGCGAGGGGAAGAACCTGCATGGGGGATCTTAGTGCTCTTCTTTCAGCAGGCTTTTGCGTAGTTGGCCTGTGTCCAGGGCTACGGCCTGAGGCCGGAATGATGGGAGCTGCAGTCAGTACAAGGAGCTGAGATCACTATCTGGCTTGTCTTGTGGAGCTCAAGCTGTAGTGAGGGAGGAGGGAAGTCACAGGAGCTGTAGAATTTTGCAGGTTAGAGGGCATTGTCATGGGGCACGGAGATGGGCATGATCTGCATTTCTGTGCAGAGTTGGTGCAGAGGTAGTGCCATTCTCTGGGTGCTGGGAACACCTTGTCCAGGTCATAGGTTTGAGTTTAATGGAGGAGATAAGTGTGTAAAGATGAGGTGAGATGTGATGTGGTGATAGCAGATGTTGGTAAGTTGCCCTGCAAATAAACTTAGTCCGCCAGAAGTAGGAGACCCAGTGTGACGGAGTTCTGGGCCAAGTGTGGAGAGCATGGCTTTTTCGGCTGTGAAAGTAGCAGGTGGGTGATGTGGAGGGAATGGGGCCGCTGGGCCCCATGGCCTTGTCCTGTCCTCTCTGTGGCTCTGGCGCTGTTGTGGTCCCCTAGGCTGCCAACACTACCCTGGGCATGTAGGGACAAGCCCTTCAGCAGGCTGGTGAGAAAGGGTGCAACCGCGTGCGCACGCGCTCTTTCCATGGCAGCTTCAGCATGTATGGGGCGGTTCTCAGAGTGCGCCTCATCTTCCAGAGAAACAAGTGGGAGTGTTCATGCACAGAGCTTGGGTTGAGTGCCAGATACTTGGTAAAAATCTGGTGTTGCCAGGTTGCTGGGTGTAGGGAGCTTAAAATGAGCTTCCCTTTCTTACCTTGTAAGTGAAACCAATACCATCTTCCCCACTTCAGACTATGTAGGATTTAAGTATGTATACAGAAATTTAAGTACAGTGCCTGGCATGGTAGGGGCCTCTCACATGCTAGCTTCCTTTTTGTGTTACTTTGTTCCCCGTTTGCAGCCTTTTGCAGAAGAATAGATGTTCCCTGAACTACCCGGATTCTTGTTCCACAAGTGCCCCGGAGTCCTGGTAATGCTGAGTGCTGGTGGTGCAGCCCTCGCTCTGTGTGCATCCCGATGTTGCTGGCTGGCCAGCGAGGTGGGCCCGCTCTCCCTCCTCCCTGTTCCTCTGTGGGCGTGAGCGCACCGTGGGCGCGTGCTTTCCCACCGGGCCTCAGCGAGTGTTTACCACTCAGAGCCGTCTTGACTGTGTGATGTCACCACGGTTGCTCTGACCCTTTCTGTCCTGGTTGTTTGTGTTCTTTCACTCTGTTGCCAACCCTTGTCTCTGACGCTCTGTCCTCTTGTCTGAGTAAAGAAAAGGTGGGGAGCGTTCTTTTCCTTGCTGGGGACTAGGCAGGAAGGGGGCAGGTCTGCGGGGCTTGGGCGCATGGATCTGGAGTTTGGGTAGTTCCACAGGCCAGGCAGACCTGCTCACGAGCAGGCGTTTGCCAGTGAGCAAGAAGTAGGAGTCAGTGGAAGTAGTTTTGTTTGGTGGCGTTGCAGCATTGTTGTTTGATGTTATTGTAAATGTACATGACAATGCTCTAGGTATTTTAAGTCATCTCATAGATGTTAGTGGGATTATGTGGGATGATAATGATGCTAGTGACATGTGCCTGGTACTATACAAAGAAACAGCTGCATTATCCTGTGAGGAGGTAGACTGTAGTATTATCTCCATTTTTACGGACAAAGACCCTAGGTTACATAATGTGCCCAAGGATCATAAGCTATTAGAAACTTGACCTATCACCCAAGGGCTGTGATTTACCTCTGTGGTACTCCTTTAGACATTGAAATATTTCAGTTGGAAGGTAAATTCTGAGTTTCCTAAGGATAATTTATAAAGGCTTAGAACATAACCTATTTTAGTTGGATGTACAGTATTAAAGCTATGGAAATGGACAGGTATTCTGTCTAAACCAAGAGTTATGAAACTAAAGAATAGTTATTTTAGGCTTTGTGGGCCTCAGATAATGTCAGTCACATAGTCTTTCTATTATTATTATTTTTAAACTGCAGAAACTGCTCCTGGTTGATTGTACAAAAAAGAGATTATTGGTCAGAGGCAAGAATTAAAGTAAGGGGAAGTGGTGCTTTGCCTCGAGTGGTAGAGTGCTCACCTTGAGCTGAAGAGCTGAGGGATAGCACCCAGGCCCAGAGTTCAAGACCCAGGACTGGCAAAAAACAAAAAACATTAAAGTAAGGAAAAGAGAGTGTTGCAGAAGTCAGGGCAAAGGAGATGGTAAAGGGCTCAGGTTGAGGCAGGCCCTGAGTAGGGCACTCCTAGCTACTCAGGAGGCTGAGATCTGAGGATCATAGTTTAAAGTCAGCCTGGGTAGAAAAGTCCATGAAACTCTTACCTCCTGTTAACCACCAGAAAACTGGAAGTGGAACTATGGCTCAAAGTGAGAGAGCTAGCCTTGAGCAAAAGAGCTCAAGGACAGCGCCAGGACCTGAGCCTGAGTTGAAGCCCCACGACTGACACCCCTCTCCCCCCTCCCCGGCCCTCCCAGCTGGCTCTGCACTGTCCTGGCTCTGGTCTGCTCTGCTCTCTGTTGGTGTTTGCACTTTGGTTCTGGGAGGCTCTCATGCTCTACCACTGCCATTGTTGTTGACTGGCACTTGCCAACCAGCCGCCACTGTGGTTTGTTTATTGGAAGATTTGCTTTAAGCATCCAGATTAAAAAAAATAAAGACAGCTTAATTCAAGCTGTAGTAAAATCCAAAATCTTAGGTGAAGGTGTAGCTTAGTGGTAGAGGACAGGCGTAGCATACATGAGATCCTAGGCCCAGTCCCCACCTCCATCCCTTCACCAATTGTCAAAGTTTCCAGTAGAAGCTATTTTGCTTTCTCCCGCTTTTCCCCATGCTCCGCCTGGTATTGCCTGTCTCCTGTTTGGCACTTGCAGCCCCTAAGCTTTAGAGGCTCTATGTAGATAGGCTTTATTCTAGAGAGCATCGTGGAAGCTTGTTCCCGGCCAGTGCTCTTGTCAGGGGCTCACACAGGGTGAGTGCAGCACTAGCAGTGGCTTAGTTTCTTTGTTTTGTTTTGTTACTCTGTCATACATGCCGGACACCTGGCTCTGGCTTTGCTCTATATAACACCATTCTGTTACCTCCCATTCTTTCCGAAGCACACTTCTCTCGGTGCTCAGAGTGTCCATGGGAAAGTGGACGTCAGGTTTCACTGCCTGGTCATTCACCCATTAGCTTCCATTCACACTTAGTCTGAAACCCAATCATTGTTTCCAGACCCTGGGTGCTGTGGCCTCTGCCAGCTTTGTCTGTCTCATAGGGATTGGTGTCCTCCCTTGATGGTGTCTTTCCTGGCGGGGTTTGTACATGGTTCCTCCTCTGAGAACCACCTCTCCTGGAACTGGTACCTCTGGCCTCCTTATCAGGTCTCAGTGCAGCTGCTGCCTTGCGTTTTCCTGCCGCTCTGGGGCACTGTTCCTTGCCTCTTCCCGTGGAATATCATCCGATGGGTCTGTTGGGGGTCTAGACGTCACTCACATGCGTTCAGTGCATATTAAAGAGTTGTCTTCTTGGACTGACCAGACCTCAGAATCCCCTAAAGTCTAGTCTCCTGTTTGGGGGAGCGGGGACAGTGCTGGCAGTGTCTATGAGCAGCGTGTTGTTGAGCCAGAGTTTCTTCTGCTCTGCTTCTTCCCCTCTGCTGGCCAGCCCTTGCACTCATGGGGTAACTGTTTCCTCAGCTGCCCTAGAATACTTGGAGGCCGTGTCAGCTGTTCTAGAACTTAGACCTTGGTATTCTTGCTCAGCAATCGGGGCATACTTGGAGATGGTTGGTAGCGTGCTCAGCAGTCCAGGCCTCCCGACACACTTGGAGATGAATGTAGTGCTGGACCTCTCTCCTTTCTTAGGGGATTACTGTGGCCCACATGAAAAGGCCGGCAATGATTGGGATGTGTTTGGCTATACTTAGTCACATCCATGAAAGGGGCCCAAAGGCCCCTTGAGTCCTGGGCTGTTAGGTGGTGGTTCCAGTCTTCACCTGCTGCTGTCTGACAGGACCTGCTCTGACTTGCCGCATCCCACCCTTGTAGTCTTTGTCAAATGATACAGCTGGCAAGTTGAGACATCTCCCTAGTTCATAGCAGGGCCACTGGAGAGGTCTTATGGTCCTCACTGTCCTCTGCTGCACCAGGGAAGAGTGACATGGGAGCACTCCTGTGAGCAGCCACCTGTGGGAGCGTGGGCAAAGGCCAGGTGGTGAGTGCTTCCCAGATGTGTCATCATCTAGAACAGCTTTTGTCATTTCTGGTCTTTGACACTTCTGTTTTAATGAAGCAGTATCATTCTTGTAAGATTGTTGAGTAAGAAATGTGTTTAATTTGTAGATACTGGTGAAATGTTTATATAAATGTATAAACATATTCCTTGTCTTAAACTACTAGGTACTGGAGAAGATGACTATGTTGATGACTTTAATAGGTAAGAAAAACATCTAGGCAACTATATAAAAGTGTACATATTTGTAAATAATTTCTGAATACAAATGAGTGTGGCCAAGTTACATTAGAGTCTTATTTTGGTGTTTTTTATTCTTTTTTTCATTATGATTGAAGATGAATGAAGGTTAATCCAAAATTTGTATATTTTGGACCATTTTTTTACATTAGAATATAGATATCTACCTTACGTTGAAGGACATGGTAAGAATAAAAAAATAACATTTAAGAACCAGGCTGAGGCCAGGCCGCTGGTGAATCACACTTGAAATCCTAACTACTCAGGAGGCTGAGACCTGAGAATGTAGTTTGAATTTTTTTTTTTTTTTCGGGTCCGGTCATGAGGCCTGAACTCTGGGCCTGGACACTGACCCTCAGCTCTTCAGCTCAAGGCTAGCGTTCTACCACTTGAGCCACAGCGCCACTTCTGGCTTTTTTTCTTTTTGCTTATGTGGTGCTGGGGAATCGAACCCAGGGCCTCAGGCATGCAAGGCAAACGCTCTACCACTGAGCCACCATCCCAGCCCTCTGAGAATGTAGTTTGAAGCCAGCTTAGGCAGGAAAGTCTGTGAGACTCTTATCTCCAATAAACTACTCAGAAAAAGCCAGAAGTGGTGCTGTGGCTCAAGTGGTGGAGTGCTAGCCTTGAGCAAAAGAAGCTCAGGGACAGTGCCCAGTCCCAGAGTTCATGCCCCAGGACTGGCAAAAAAAATTTTTTTTTAAATAGGCTAAATGTGGCATGCCTGTAATCTCTACTACTCAGAAAACAGAAAAAAGGATATGGAGTTTGAGCCAGCTTAGGAAAAGTTACTGAGACCATCAAAAACAAAATATGAACAATAGGACTGGTAGTATGGCTTTAGTGGTAGAGAGCTTGCCGGTCATGCACTAGGTCCTAGATTCAATCCCCATTACTGAAAAAAGAGGAGGAGTTGCCTGTGTTTTGTGGTAAGTTAAAAAAATTGCTGGAAGTGGTGCTGCGGCTCAAGTGGTAGACCACTTGCCTTGAGCTGAAGAGCTGAGGAACAGCATCCAGGCCCAAAGTTCAAGCCCCATGACCGACCCCCCCCCCCAAAAAAAAATTGTCCCTTCTAGTTATTATTCTGATTCAGATGACATTTAACATTTTGTATCAGATAGCTTTCTTATATACATGAAGATAGTCTATGAGCTGTCTAGTAATATGGAAGTAATATTTGTTGTGGATCTGATCGCAAATCTTAAAATTAGATATCTGATTATTTTGATTGTTTTTGTCCCATTGGAAATTTGTATTTTATTTATTTATTTGGTGCGGTCCTAGGGCTTGAACTCAGCACCCGAGTGCTATCACTGAGCTTTTTTTGCACTAGGCTAATATTCATCCACTTGAGCCACAGCTTCACTTGTGGCTTTTTGGTGTTTAATTGGCTATAAGTATCTCACAGACTGCCCAGGCTGGCTTCAAACTGCAGTTCTCAGATCTCAGCCTCATGAGTAGTTAGGATTTTAGCGGCATGAACAAGTGGCATCCTCCTGTCTTTATTTTTTAGCAGAATAACTTACCCAGTTTTTTTGAGGAGAGTATGACATAGCTGAAACATTAGAAACCTTGGTTTGTTTCTTGCTACTGTGTTTATTGTCACAGGTGAACTTTAGTTCTCATGCCCACTGAATTGAGAGGATTATTGCTGCTGCCTTTGCTAAGTTGTTTTAAGGGTTGCATAAAATGATATGTATGAAATTTATATTTGATGTTACATTTTACTTAAGATAGCTGTAAATTTGAAAACTGGTGGTTTTTCTCTTAAGAATCGTTATCTCTTCTTTTCCCTTTTATAATTAGTGCCAGCCACCGCTCAGAAAAAAGTGAACTAAGTATTGGTGAGGAGATTGAGGAAGACCTTTCTGTGGGAGTGGACGACATCAGTACCAGCGATAAAGTATGCCGTTATCATTTCCCATAGAATGCTGTGTGCCTGTTCATTGATCTGCGGGAGGCTTCAGGAGGTTATTCTCATTAGCAGGAAAGCAGTTGAAAATTGTGAAAAGTGCATGCCAGAATTACCTAATAAGTATGCAAGGCTGTCTCTGTGGTCACATAACTTGAAAGCTCAGTGCTTCTTACAGGACTGACTTGTTACTGGGTCGCTCGGCTTACTGCAGCGCAGTGCAGTGAGGGGTGCCACAGGGATCAAAACCAGCATCAGGATTTCCTGCCTTGGTGCTGTGCAGGTAGAAGTTGTATAGAGTGTGGTCGGCTCAGGGGCAGCTGTTATACGTGAACAGGTAAGGCATGACCAGACTAGAGCCAACAAGAGACAGGAGGCCAGAGGTACATGGTGAGCAGATCATTTGGGTTCACAGTGGAGCTTTTCATGCATGCACTTAAGATAGTGAAGGATGGCACCTTAGGATCATGTCTGTCCATATGAAACAGTTGTGCTCACAGCTCCAGGGGGGTCTGGCTTCCCTGCCCTGGAGGAGGGGTCTGGTGCCTCCCAGAATGAGCAGGGCTTGCCCATGGGTTTGGTTATCACATGAGGGGAGGCCTTCATGGTCTTGAAACCAGAGTCAGCACAGCTTGGGCTTGCATTCTTGTTTGTAGATACATGTCATCATCTTACGTTTGCGTTGTTTATTCATTAGGTGAAACAATGCCCACCTCACAGTATTGTTTTGAGGGCGAAATGATAATATGTACATTCCTTCTCTGATGCCTTATACTTTACAGACTTAAGCAATATGATTTCATAAATGTTACACAGAATGGGCTGCAAAGGGAAGTGCAATCAGTTCTCTTTATGTTGTGAATGTAGAGGCCACCTGTTAACCTCCTGGCATTATCACCAAGTGCAAAAGTAGACAAGAACAGGAGATAAGAGAAGATAAAGTAAGAGATGGGAGTCGTGGTGTTGAGCTCCAGTGGGCACAAGTTCTGTCTTGTCACAGACACTTGGGTTTTATCGAAGAGTACTATTCTGTTGTACCATACACCACCCACTTTACCTTTTTCCATTTCCTGGTGATTGGGATGCAGATGTCTTTTCAGTGCTGATTTCATTTCTTCAGCACACTGATGTCATTTCTTCTGGAGAAATACTTAGGACTTGATCGCGAGTTCTATTTTTAATTTTTAAAATTAATTTATTAATGGGCTGGGATGGTGGCTCAGTGGTAGAGCGCTTGCCTTGCATGCATGAGGCCCTGGGTTCGATTCCTCAGCACCACATAAGCAAAAAGAAAAAAGCCGGAGGTGGCGCTGTGGCTCAAAGTGGTAGAGCACTAGCCTTGAGCTGAAGAGCTGAAGGACAGTGCCCAGGCCCAGAGTTCAGGCCCCATGACAGGACGCCCCCCCCCAAAAAAAAATTAATTTATTACTACTATTATTATAATTATTTTTTTTGCCAGTTGTAGGACTTGAACTCGGCCTGGGCACTGTCCTTGAGCTTTCGTGCTCTGCCACCTGAGCCACAGCTACACTTCTGTCTTTTGTGGTGTTTAATTGGAGATAGTCTGTCAGGCTTTGCTGCCAGCCTGGCTTCAAACCATGATCCTTAGATCTCAGCCTGCTCAGGTCACTAGGATTATGGGTATGAGCTGCCAGTGCCCAGCTTCTGTTTTTAATTTTTAATTTATTTTTTGTCACTTGTGGAGCTTTAACTCTGGGCCTGGGCACTGTCCCTTAGCTCTTCAGCTCAAGGTTAATGCTCTACCACTTGAGCCACAGCACCACTTCCAGTTTTCTGAGTGGTTTATTGGAGATAAGAGTCTCATGGACTTTCCTGCCTAGGCTGGCTTTGAACCATGATCCTCAGATCTTAGCCTCCTGAGTAGCTAGATTACAGGTGTGAGCCACTGGTGCCTAGTTTTTAATTTTTTAAGGAGCCTCCATTCTATTTTCTGTAATAGTTGTGCTTATTTCCATTCCTACCAACATTCTTGTTAGCACTTGCTCTCTTCTCTGACTTTTAAAAAATTGTTACTAAGATTTCTGAGTCCTTTATATATTCTGGATATCGGTCCTTTTTCATATTCTGCAAATGCTTTCCCCCTCTCTGTCTCTGCCCAGTGATTGCCTCCTTGCTGTGCAGAGCTTTTTAATTTTTTTTTAATCTCATTGTCTACTTTTGCTTTTGTTCCTTATGCTGTCTGGTCCAAAAATTTCTTTGTCCTGAAGCATTTCCCCTGTGTGTTCTTCTGGTAGTTTCATATCAAATATTTAAGTTTTTAAAAATATTTTTTGCCTTTTTATGTTTTTAAAGGAGGAAATTTGTCTACTTATATCCACCCCCTTCTATCTTTTATAAAGACTCACATTGTTCCTTACTCAATCTTGCAATCCAAAACATTACCCTTTGTAATCTTACCTTCAAACTGTAGACTTTTTTGTATAAGCTGGATTTGCATTCAAAATATAAGATCTTTAATGTTCTTAATACTTTTCTTGGTAAGAAATGACTTTACACCAGGAATACTATGGGACCAAAAGGGAGAGAGAAGCTCTATTTACTTACATAAGAGGATTTTAGTCCTGACTTGGTTTCTCTGCATACAAAGAATAACAACACGACCAGATGTGAAGAGGCATCTTGGCGCTATCTTGGGAGGGAACCTTCTTGTCCCCACAAGATGCCCTTGCTCTTGTGTATTAGCTAGCCCAGTCTGTCGTACTTCTTCCCTACAAGACCACAGAGGAGACACCATAGGATTTTCAGGCCATGTTTTTTGTTTTTTGTTTTTCCATATGTACTCCATTTGACCATTGGATTGAGAAAATGGTCACAGATGATACACAGGCAAGTGGGTCTAGCTAGATCCTGTGGGCCAGTCCTGATGTAGTGACTGGCTGCTCCAGGTAAAGATGCTCTAGATGAGGCTGAGAAGATATGTGGGACAATCTGCTGTATTTTTTCCAGTTCTGGAGCCTGTCTTGAACTTTGGTTTTGCCCTTACTTCCCAGCCTTTATTATGCTTATATAAAGCAAAGCATTGACCTCAAGAGGCTGCTAGTCTACTAACCAGGCCTTTGGCTTTCTAGCACTTAGATTTTCTAGGTGTTTTATGAGTTTTAAATAGGAAGCAGGTTATAGAGTATAAAATACATTATTGCATTGTACTTTTAAACTTAATTTATACTCATATTGACATTCTTTTTTTTTTCCCCTTGGAAAACAAAGCTTGATAATCTCACACAAGACCTGACAGTCTCTCAGCTCAGTGATGTCGCAGACTTTCTGGAAGACGTGGCGTAGCCGGAAGAAGGACGTGTTCTCACCAACACAGACAAGGGACTCATCCGCTCCATTTGTTTTGTGTGTTTCAGACAATCACTTTTAGCTGGAATGTCTGCTCCCTATTGGTGCCTTGCATTTCAAAAAAGACTTGCAGATATTTTTAAAATTAACTTTTCATTTTATGAAACAAAATACTTCCCTATATGAGCCCATGTGTGTAAGATTTAAATTATTCTTATTTTGATTTAGCTGTACATTTCTCTGAGGAAATTGATAGTCTACACCCAAAGTTCATTACAGGGAGGAACTTCTGTGCTGAGTAGTGCATAGAGATGGGTCACTGAAGCTGTAGTCTCTTCTGGCTTCAAGCATGGCTGCTGGGGTGTGGAGATCTTTGAAAAACCATGCCTTGCCCTAGGCTCTGAAAGCAGGACCTGTCTACTGTTTGTATCGGGTTTGTATCGCGTGTGCCAGCACATAATGGTGCAGTGACCTGGTACGCTGGTGTCGTCATACTCATGTGAAATTTGATGTGTCATCGTGAATTTGTATTTCTTCCATTTGGAAGGTTTGTTAGACCATTAAGGTTTTATTAAAGTACTCTTGTGTGGCTATTTAGTTCTGCTTGTTTTAAAGAAACCTAGAAGTGGTTATGACTTAATTCAGAGTTGTAGATACCAGATTTACGGTTGCCGTTCTGCCTTTAGTCCATGCACACAGCTGCAGTCACACAAGTTCTCTTCATGATATAACTTATTACTTGTAAAGATGCCTTGAAACATATTAAAACCAAAATGCATCTGAAGTCAAGCAGTGCTTTTATTTCAGATATGACTATATTTAAATCCAAATTGGAATGAAAGAGTAGTAATGGCCTAAGACCATATATGATCAGTTTGGCAATCTTCACTGTAAATAATTTTATTGTAATCCTTCAAAAATACAATTGCAAGTGGTCTTATAAGAAAGCATTGTGGCCAGGTGCTGGTGGCCACACCTGTAATCCTAGCTACTCAGGAAGCTGAGATCTGGTGATTAAGGTTCAGAGCCACCTGGATAGAAAGTCTGAGATGCTCATCTCCAGTTAACCACTTAAAAGAGCTAGAAATGAAGCTGTGCTTCAAGTGGTAGCATGCCAGCTTGAACTAAAAGGCCTGGGATTCACGTCCCAGTACTAGCATCAAAAACAAAAAAGCATGCTGCTACTGTGATGTAGGTTACTGACATATATAGTGCCAGGTATTTTAAAATGTGCAAGTGGGAAAAACAAAGAAGATGTTTACATATCCTTATGCATGTAAGTAAAGCCTAAGGTATTCACTTTTTTGTGCTTTTCTATTTCAATTATGACTTCACTAATAAAAACAGCATAATAGACCTAATTTGTTCATCTTAGTAAATATGCAGATTTCCAGTAATGCCAATATTAATGTATTTATCAGACCCTACAATGTAGAGGAAATGAAATTTAGTAAGGATTAAGGCTCTCTGACTTTGGAGTCTGGCATTGTAAGCACTAAGTGATGCGGAGCCATGAGTGTGACGAGGAAGCAGGGCAGCAAGAGGGCTGAGCGGCTTCGGAGGCCCGCACTATTTCTGGGTACTTCAGGTGTGGCCTGCTCTGTCGCAGTTGGCTTTCCTGCTCCTGTTCTTCTCCGGTAGACTTGCACTGTGAGGGTGAGATTTGTGCTTGTTGGTTGCACGTTGCCTGTGGTCTCTGGGCACAGGGCTTTTGTGTGGCCCGCTGCATCTGGATGACTGTGGTTTCCTTTTCATATTTCATGCAAGCTGTATTTCAGTGCATGTGGCCCAGTTACTCAGACCTTTTGGATCTCTTAGGAGTATGGGGAGAAAAATGCCAAATTTGCAACTTTGATATCAATTAAATGCATTTGAGTAGCTTAGAATTCTAATAGGAAAAAGCTTTGTTTCACATGGGTTCCTTGCTGAGATATTAACCTGTTAAGCCATAGGATATGAAATGAGCCAGGCATCGGTGGCTCACACCGAGCTACTCAGTAGGCTGAGATCTGAGGATTGTGGTTCAAAGCCAACTCGGGCAGGAAACTCCGTGGCGTTCTTATCTCCAATTAACCACCAGAAAACTGGAAGTGGTGCTGTGGCTTAAATGTTAGAGCACTCACCTTGAGCTGAAGAGTTGAGGAGCAGCACTCAGGCCCAGAGTTCAAGCCCCACGACCAACCAGAAAAAAAAAAAAAAAAAGATAAGAAATGACAGACTTTACATATGATCAGTGTTTTCTTTTTATTGGAAATACTCAGGAAATATATTTTATAATAGCCTTTTAGTATTTTAGTGACTTAAAGTCCCACTTTTCATTCACTGATGAGCTTTACAAAAGAATAGAAGCACTTCCTTGTTACTTTCTCTGTACACTTTGTCTGAGGTGCAGTAGCAGCTGTGGCCCATCACAGACCCTCCTGGGATGTGCCATCCTCACCTTCTGCCTACTCAGCAGCCCACACAGGCTCCTACGCAGGTCAGGCTCAGGATCCCTCATCATGTCTCCCCTCTGGATGGCCTCCCTAGCACTGCGCAAGCCTGGTTTGCCTTGCTCTCATTTTCAGACACATGTCTAAACTAAAGATCCTCTCTCATTGTCACCTTCGCCCTGTGCATGTCCTTATACTCTGCATTGATCTTGCTTACTCATTTATTTTCCATTCATTGTCTGTGACCTCCATGACAGCAGGGCGATCTATCTGTAGATGGCATTACAAGCACTATTATCACACATTACCATTCTAACCATTAAATGGTGTGTGGGTGTGTATATATAAATACACACACATATATATATACACATACCTCTACAAGTATATAGATAGAAGATGTATAATATTTATGCAACATAACTTTTGTCATATATAACATTAAAATATAGGCCACCTTAGAATGCTTGTCAACATAGGAAGCTTTGCAGGTTATCTTGCTATTTTTTCCAGATTAGTTCAATTTTCCACTGTGGTTTGATGTGCGTGGTTTAAGAAATAATGTACCTGCTGAGTGAGGGCTGTTAGGTAACAGCCACCATGCTATGAAACTCCACATCCCAGTCCCTCAGCCTTGGAACCTTGGGTGATAGGGCGGCTCAGGGAGGCCTGTTCTCATTAACTGAACCTTGAAACATTTGACAGAATAGTGAACATGGACTTAAAATACAGTTCTGTTACTACTCTTTCTTGATACTGCCATTTGCTCACTCACTTGCCTGCTCAGCTAGTGTTCTTCTACTTGAGCCATACCTCCAGCTCTGTTTTTTAAATTATTATTTTAGAGATGGGGTTTTCAGGACTTTTCAGTCTGAGGCTGCCTTTAAACCATGATCTCAGACCCTTGAGTAGCTGGGATTATAGGCATGAGCCAACAGCATCCATCTAATTAATACACTTAATGCTGTTGATAATTGTTAATATTTTTTTTTGCCAGTACTTGGGCTTGAACTCAGGGCCTCATACTCTTGCTTGGCTTTCTTTACTCACAGCTTACACTACCACTTGAGCCATTCCTCCAGTTCTGACCTTTTGCTTTTTAATTGGAGATAAGAGTCTTGTGGCATGTCTGCCCAGGATGACTGAATTGTGATTCTCATACTTCAGTCTCAAGTAGCTATGATTATAGGCATGAGCTGCCATTTTTTTATTTAAGATTTTCACTAAGAAAAAAGATCATTCTAAACTGAGTTCAGTTTTTCCAGTGGGGAGAAGGGGCCACCATTTGCTTGAGATTGCCTTGTGACTTTGAGAGTTACCCCAAAGCTGCTGTGAGCTGTGAAACCACAAGATGGAGGAAGCCATCTTGTTACTGTGTTACTGTGCAGAAGAGATTCTCTCCTTCTAAAGCTACTTAGATGACTGGATTTTGATGTAAATGGAAATGAAGTTCTAGTATGTTTAACCACTGGAATTTGATTTGCATTTGAACATAATTTTAATTTTGGAAGAATCAGTGTTGGGATGGATGTGTACCATGACATCTTTTAAACCCATATCATCCATGTACCCATGCTTTTAGTACTAATAAAGGTCTGCTCTACGTTAGGCATCTTAACAAATGTAAGTTTCCTATGATGATGTTTTCTTGTTTTTTGCTTTATTACAAATAACTAAGCCAGGATAGTCAATAATTGATGTGATTAGGGCTTCGTGTGGTGGCTCCTTGCCCACAGGAATCTTAACACAGCAGCCCATACAACAGGCATTCACCAAGATAAATGCTATGGTATGAATCTTTAATGTCTTCCACAACCTTCTGTGTTGGGGGCATGGTCCCCAGCTGGTGGCATGATTGAGAGGAAATGGAACCTTTTTGGAAGTGGGGCCCACTTGAAGGAAGTTAAGTCCCTGGGTTGTGCTCTTAAGGGGCGCCTGTGTCGGGCACTGTGTAAGACACTTGGGCATTGTATCTACAAAACTTAGTCGCACAAATATGTCATTTCCTTCCAACTTTCGGAAGAGATGGCTCCTTGAGGCATGACCAACCTTGGGTCAACAGCCTAATCTGGAACTGTGGTTTGGTTGTTTAATGGAGTCTTTTTTGGGGCAATTTTCTGACAAGTTAGATCCATGTGAAATCAGATCTGTAGTATCTTATCTGTCTGTCTATCCACTTGCTTGAGTTAACCCTCCAGTTTTTACCCTCATCATATGACAGATATATCGAGGTGTCCGTAACCCCCACACATCGCAGTGAGAAGAATGAGGCTCAGAGAGGGTAAGTGATTTATATCACCCAGTTTATCAAGTCTTCTCCCAGAGAAAAGCCTGCATTCCGTGTCCTCCCCCCCAATCCCTAGCACCTTGGACTCGGACCTCATCAGTGCCATGTGTCCAGGCTCCCACCTCTGGTTTGCACCTTTTAATACTGTAACTAGAGAGAATGTCAACCTTAAAAGGAAACTCGGTAGTTGCAGAGTGGAGTATGGAGGAATGACTTCAACTCCCTCCCACCCCACCCCGTCTTCATCCAGTGACGGCAGCATCCATGTAGAAGGCTCTGCTTGACAAGATGTTTGTACTGTCTCCACGGTCCCCTAGCCTTTTGTGGTAACCACACCACGTCTCCATAGAGGAGAAGTTGGAAAGGAAGTCCCTGGACCACTGCGGAAGCTTCTAGCATGTTCCTCATAAGGGGCATTTACTGTTTCTCTCTTTCAAGTTAAAACCTCTTCCTCTTTGTAGATGACAAATCACAAAATTGACTTGCACTAGATTGCTGCAGCCTTCTCTATCTATGCATCTACTAAGGTGGACTTGAGATCAGGTCACAGATTGTTGCAAAAATGAGATAAGCTGTGTTAAAAAAAAAAAAAAAACCAAAAAACAGAAAACCACACTCTAGTTTTTCATGCCAGTCACGACTTTGCTTATTCATTCACTCCACACCTGCCCGTTACCCGCGGTGCTCTAAGCCAGGAAGACATATCAGGGACAGGAGAGGCCCAGCACCCTCCTCAGACCCTGGGCAGGGACAGGCACGCTGGGGAGGGGCATAGTGTAGGGAACTCTGGTAAGTGGGGAGATCCAGGAGAGGCTAGCCAAGTGTCCGAGTGGGCGGGGGGGGGGGGCTCAGCAGAACAAGGTGAAAGGAGTGGGCAGTACAGCGAGGCAGAGCGCTGTTGCCAGGGTAACAGTTACTGGTGTAAACAATAGGAAGGAGGGAGACCACCAAGCAGGTGGAGACAGTGGCGCCAGACTCTCAGGCCCTGGTTCCCGGTGAGGATGGGGGAGGAGCAAGGTGGAGCATTGAGGGGCACAGAGGACCTCCAGTAGAATAGACATGAATAGAGCTAACAGCCTTAGTCTTGTACCGAGTGGAGAGCAGACAGTGGAGGTAAGATGAGGAGAAGAGCTCTGTGTGTCAGGTGAGGGAGATGGCCAGATGGTTAACAAGGAGTAGGGGATATAGGTTTATTTTAAATCCTGAACAAAAGCTACCCTTAGTTTTTGCTGGTGTGTCTTATTGAGAAATAGAGCTCAGGTCTGGATCCAGGGTTTGGGCCTCTTCACCGAGAGAGCAGCTGCCCTGGGGCTGGGGGGCGGGGGAGGTGTCAGCGTAGGGCTTCCGAGGTCTGTGGATTCATTTAGGGGTACAAATAGGCTGCGGTGGGCCGGGTTGTGTCTGCCTGGAAGCTCGGAACATGAGCTCTACAGATGTGAGCAGTTTGGCTGAGCCCATAACTTGGATGTGGGTGAGCACGGGAGGTCACGTGCAGACGGTGTCAGGGATGGCGTAATGTACCACACAGGGCCACCAGGTCAGCCATGTCCAGCATGGAGGCTGGGGGCAGTATCTCCCTAGAGCGCCTCCCTGGGGAGGCACTTAGCCTGCTGGTGCCTCCACCTGGAAGTTCTGCCT